AATATAGCTTTTGGTCTCACTTTATTTTACTTTGAGGCCTTTGCTGGCTTTTCTGGGCAAACAATCTACGATGATTGGTATTCTCTCTCCTTCAATGTGATCCTCACCTCTTTGCCCGTCATTTCTCTTGGAGTTTTTGAGCAGGATGTTTCTTCAGATGTCTGCTTGGAGGTAAATTCTCATCTGAATCCAAATTCCTAACATTTTACAGTGAAATTTGTGTTGATCCAAGTTTTATAATTTCCAGTTCCCAGCGCTGTATCAGCAAGGCCCAAGAAACCTGTTTTTTGACTGGTATAGAATTTTTGGGTGGATAGGAAATGGCCTCTATACCTCCCTCGTAGTATTCTTTTTCAACATTATCATATTTTACAATCAAGCATTTCGCTCTGGAGGTCAGGTTGCTGACATGTCAGCAGTGGGAACCATCATGTTCACAGGAATTATCTGGGCCGTCAATTGTCAAATTGCCCTCACCATGAGCCACTTTACTTGGATCCAACACTTGCTTGTGTGGGGTAGCATTGGAATGTGGTACATTTTTCTCTTGATCTATGGTGCAATGCCTTCAACTGTCTCTGGGAATGCCCATAATCTGCTTGTAGAAGCCCTTGCACCAGCACCCATATATTGGTCGACAACTCTTTTGGTGACTGTTGCTTGTGTTCTCCCATACTTTGCGCACATTGTGTTCCAACGATCTTTCAACCCATTGGATCACCATATAATCCAAGAGATCAAATACTATAAGAAGGATGTCGAGGATCAAACTATGTGGGTCAGGGAACAATCGAAGGCAAGGCAAACGACCAAGATTGGTTTTACTGCAAGGGTAGAAGCCAAAATCAGACAGTTGAAAATCAAACTGAATAAAAAGCATTCTGGAGCAACCTACCACCCTTCTCCTGTATCATAATTGATTTATTTCTTTTTCTTCTCTTTTTTTTTTTATTTTTTTTTAGATTTTGCTTAACAAGCTTCCATTTTTTGGTAGGTCTTACAATTTTTTTAAATTTTTTTTTTAAAGTTCATAAATTAGCAATTTTTTTCGTGGTATCTCTTGTGTCCCATATTCATTGAACAAGAGCTTTATATAGCTGTTGTATGTACCATATATATACGAGTAAATGAATAGTACAGTTTGTGAATGATTTGAAACAAAGATGCGTGCCTCCTCTCTCTCTCTCTCTCCCTCTTTTCTGTCTTTCATAAGTAATTCCCCTTGTTTTTTTTCCTACCCCCATCCCTGAGAAGTGTGACAGGCATGGAATGACCACCGTGGTTTGTGACTGTGTGCCACCAGAGGCTGTGGCACGACCCCTGTACCGAGACAGTTACCAAGATGGCAAGATACAGAGTATGTTGAAGCTGGATTTATTATAGTAGGAATGAGGTAGGATTTAAATCTGAGCTTGTCTTCGAAATGTATCTGGGTCAGCATTAACTCATTGAAAAATTCTAATGATTTATCACAGCTTTATTAACATCTACGAAGTATAATGTAATGTGCCAGCAGATATTCAACAATTAGTAAATGCAGTTTGATTAAGTATACAAAGTGTCTCCCGTCAAAAAAAAAAAAAAAAAAAAAGTATACAAAGTGGGATTATTCTACTATGTCATTCTTTAAAAAAAGGCACCATAACATGCTGACATGGCATGTTATGGTTGGCCAATTTTTCATTTATTTTTTAAAGTCAAAACATACCATACATGTATGTATAATTGTAAATACGTGTATTTTTTTAAATACGTAATTATTGTAATTGAAAATCTATTTTTAACTTTTAAAATTATGGTGTGAAATTAAATTATAATTAGAATTTTAGAAAATCAAAAATTCATCATTGTTCATCAAAGCCCGGAATTCACGTCGTCTGAACACCAACCTGGCCGCTTGAAACCTGACCAATGAAGCCAAAAGAAACACCTTTTCGGTCGCCTGAAAACTAACCAATAAAGTCGCCTGAACCCTGCCTAAAACTGACTGAAAGTCGCCAGATAATGGTCTGAAATTCGCCAAAATACAGCGTGAAATTCGCCTGAAAATAGCCTGAATATCGCCAGAAAAATGCACACATTAATGAACCCTGAAAGACAGCCTGAAACTGCACCAAAGAACAGAGAAGACAGCCTAAAATCCGCCCTGAAATTGCACCCAAAACACAACCTGAAATCGCCCTTAAACTGCACAAAATAATCGAGAATTCTGCCTAAATTTCGCCGGAAAAACGTACCCTGAACCACTAGAAACCATTATCGCCGTGATGAACCCTTTGCCTGACCAAAGCACGCCTGAAAATTGTCGGGGATGCTACCGGAAAATGATGGTGGAAGTGCACTTTACCCTAATTTTAATTTTGTGGTTTTTAATTATAAGTATAAATTTGAAAATTAATTAGATTTTTAAAATAAGTTTTCATAATTTATAATTATGTATTTCTTTAAAAAAAAATACATGTATTAAAAATAATATATAATATAAATACAATTTTAATACATTATAACATTAAAAATAATTTAAAATAAAAAATTTAATACTAAATATAAGCCAATCAAATTTTGCCACATAAGCAAATTGTGGTGTCCTTTTTAAAGAAGGACATTGTAGAATTTTTAATACAAAGTGTCAAATGTCAACATTGTTTAGTTTGAGTCCTTTGAGAGATGCACATTTGCTTGATAATTGATTTAGTTGTAGGATATCAGTGTGTCTTAGTACTCCTTCGATTCAAATTAATACATTGTGATAACGAATTTCATGTGATTTTTATTCATTTAAATTGAGGATTTACATGTGTGTATTACTAAATTTCCAAACATGTCTCCTTTAAGACATAATTGAGGGATTTGAGTGATATGATCCATTATTGATTGGAACATCAAATTTGAGTTATTATTTTTCTCACCTTAAAAAATTGGAGAATTTGGATCAATACAAATCTTTGGTGATTTTAATGCATTGCATACTATGTTAATATATTTAACTAAAATGATCAGATAATCATTACCATGTCAAAAACATTTTCTAACAAGTTAATTAAAAGAAATGTAATCAAAATCAGTTAAATCACTATAGTATACTCAAATGTAAATGTCAATTGCTTTAGTTGATAATATCTTGGGTCATCATCACCTTTTAGATTGAATTTTATCTACATTATTGCCTCTAGTATCTCTTTAAACAAACAATACTTTAATAAGTTGCTAATATCAAATACTTGAGATGATAATACCTCTCATTGAATCTCATTTATATTATTGTTTCTTATAAACCTTTAAATAAAACAGTTTTATTTAAAACTCACATTTGTAGAGACCAAACTCCAATAATGAGAACAAGTAATGGTTTATTTTAAGTTATTTGTTAAATATTCTTCCACATATTCCTAGGCTTAGGGCTTGTTCTCTTACGTTGAAATTCAGTTCAGTTTAGTTCAGTTCAGTTCAGTTCAGTTCAACTCCTAATTTCTTTCTCTTATAAAATATTCATTTCAGTTCAGTTCAGTTCATTTCAGCTAAGTTCAGTTCAACTCAGTTCAGTTCAGTTCACTTCAGTTGAGTTCAGTCAATGAGAATATACCCTTAATGTATAGGGTCATAGACTAATTAGTAGTTTTTTTGCTAAAAAGTTGTAATTTGGTTATTTACATTTGTAACATTGGATCTAGTAAGACTCTTGTGTTGTCAAAAAAAAAAAAAAAGTAAGACTCTTGTGAGTAGTTTAACAATGGTAATTCATAGTCTGTCCATACTGTATCTCAATTTATTAAGCATATGTTAGGAAAAGAATTTCGAGATAAATAGTAAGAGATTACAAACTAAGATGCCTTTACTCTTCCCAATTTATTGATAGGTTTCTTTTGTTTTTTTTTTTTTTAAGTTTTTTTTTTTGAAAGAAACTCCAATGACAAGTTTATTTGACAATTAGCTTGCCATGCCACATAAGCTTTAAGTCTAATTATCATTTTAGCTATTTTTACTCCAATGGGTAGCTATTAGGTTAGTAGTAGTCGTTAGATAGAAAATACTACCTCCGGTCCAATTTACTCGCAACAAAGGGGTATTATTTGTGAGACATAAAATATTCCTTTGTTGCGAGTAAATTGGACCGAAGGTAGTACATGAAAAGAGCTTAATTGGTGCAATGAGCATTTTTTTTTTGACAAGTTTAATTCCCGAGCAAATTAGCTTTGCTAGCCAAGCTAATTGAGTTCTCTAGCTCCAATGGTCAAGCTAGTAGCTAGGGAATCATTGAAATTGCAATCAATTCCCTAGCTACAACCATTGGAATTGTTCTGTTTTTGATTATTTTTTTTTTCTATCTTCAACCGGTACCCATATTTTATTATCTCACTTTTTTTTTTTTTAAAAAAAAAAGTTTCTTGGAATCAAGAGAAAAGCTAACCACTTAAGGGCGTGTTCGACGCTAGATTTTAGTGGTTTGACCAAGTCAAATCACTACTTGACAAAAAAATGTGAATGTGTTGGCAAAATAGTGGTTAGAGTAGCTTTTAGTGGTGGGGGTAGCTTTTATGAAAAGTTAGAAAGATTAGTTTTTGAAATTAGAGGTAGCTTTTGAGGTAGACGTTGAAAATTTAATCTATAGTTTTAAAAATAAAATGTTGATTTTTATATGTAACAGCTAGTCAACTGCTACTTTACCGAACCCTCGTATCTGAATTATTTATCTTCACAACTAACAACTTCCTATACAGCTCACAACTATCTCCACAGCCTCCACAGCTATAGCCTACCGCTACCTTCACAGCTATATTTTGCCGAACATATCCTAAGTCTCTCCCTCTCAGTCTTGTGATTTTTATTTTATTCTCTACTTTTGTAGATTTGTTAATGATAAATTGATAATTGGTAAAAAAAATAAACAAATTACAAAAAAAAATCCAATTATGTGAAATACTATAAACGAATCAAAATATAACTACCCGAATAATTCCCACATTTTTTTTAAATTTTTTTATTATTGTTTTTAAAGATTTAAGAAGAAAATAGGAGTAAAATACTTCAATTTTATAACCAAAGGAAAAAAAAAAAGAAAAAGGAAAAAAACAGGAAAAGGAGCTGTTATTGAACGCAACAGCGGCAAGGCTTCGTTGGATCAAATCGAAGCTGCGATACCATTTTCTCTCTCCTCTCTTCTTCCCCACTTTCTTTCTGCAATTTTTTTTTTTTTTTTGTTTTTTTTTTTTTGGATTTTCCTCATAATTTCCCCCTTTTCCATTTCAATTTCATAAATAAATTCATCCCTTAATTTTTTTTTAGGCTGAGGAAAATAAAATTTCGATTTTAAGAAAAATTTGGGAGGGAGAAAATTAAGGGAATTAAAATACGGAGTATACAGAATTTAATTCCTTCCCTTTTTTTTTTAAAAAAAAAATTAATTACTCCGTATTAATTTATTTAATAAGTAATTCCCTTTTGTTTTCAATGGGGGTTACCTTCCAATTTTCTCTTCATTTCCATAACCAAACACAAAAACCCAATTAGGGTTTGTTCGTCGATTGATTATTTTTCCTTTATTTTTTTTTTAAAATTTTTGAAAAATTTCCTGGAATATTGATTCAATTTTACATGGAACCTCGAGTTGGTAACAAGTTTCGGCTTGGTCGGAAGATCGGCAGTGGTTCCTTTGGAGAGATCTACCTTGGTTTGTTCTTCATTATAATTATTCTCTTAATTTTTTTTTTTATTAATTTATCAGCTTTTTAATTTTTATTTTGTGTGATTTTTCTTGATTTTTTGTTTTTTAAAATTCTTTCTGTGTAGGTACCAATGTACAAACCAATGAGGAGGTGGCAATCAAGCTTGTGAGTATTGCTTCACTAATATTAATGTGATTTCATGTATTTTATTTTGGTCTTAGCTTTTGTAATGGAACTTCATTTATTAATATGAAGTATATACTAATTTGATTGATTTTTGGTCTTTGTTGAATTGGTAAAGCAATTAGCTTTGTAATGTTAATGTTACTAGATACCGTGATATCATATTGTTTATTTTTGATGTGGAATATGTGTTATATAGTGGATATTTTCGGTTCATGATGTATCAAATGCTGATTTTGTTTTTGATTATACTTAGATGCCTTCTAGCTGTGTTGTATTTGTTATCACTTGTCAATATCAATGATTGCTTTTCCTGTTTGAGTTGTGAAGTAAAGTTGTGTGTCTTATTGGGGTTGCATTGTCTATGGGAGGTGGGGGGGGGGTGTTAATGGCTGGTTGTCTTATTGCCTATTTTCTTGTCGTAAATCCGTATAATATTGATAAGATTTGGTTTTGCAGCTTCCATGTAATTGTGTTTGTTGATATTTAGATCTCCTGGCCAATTTTCTGAGATGTTCTACTGTTAATGAGTAATTACAATAAACAATATGTTCATAGGGCTCTTCTGGGTCTTTAAGTTATGTTGCTGACTCCATAATTTTAGTGTTTTTAGTCTCTTGCACTTGGTGTCTATATTCTTTGCGATTTAATTGTACTTAAAATGTCTGTTATTAACCAAACCATAGGAAGTAAAGGCGAAGTACTATAATTTAAAGTTTTTATATATTGAGGGCACCTTAAATGCTCTAGATGGCTTTTCTGTGATATTCAGTGTTTATGTCAGCAAAGCTACAAGGACCTCTGAACTTGTGTTTTTTTTTTTTTTTTTTTTTTTTTTAATGGTATGTAGGGACTTTGCATTTTTTCTATCCTTGACGATTTGCGGCCTTAGGCCTATCTACATTCATGTACAGCCATTGAGCCATACTTCCTTTTGTTCTGCATTTCCTCAGTAACCCTACGATTCAATGAGTAGCTTGATACAAAAGAGGTGTCACATATCATGCTGTTAGCCTTTTCAGTGCTTGATTTGGCCTTGGTAGTTATAAAGCTTCATTAGAAGGTGATACACTGTTAACAGTTGTTCCAGTCCCATCTTAATTGCTCTTATTTGGCAACTGTTGGAGCTTTAAGGATAAATTCATTTTTGAAAAATTGGAGCTACTGAACATTTCATTCAGTTTAGGCAATTGAATATGGATTATTAACTACTTAAACCCCTACGACAAAGAGTTGGGATTTTGTTACTAGCTTGCAGATTCGTGAAATTATTTTGCAATCTGGTGTTGTGATTGAATCATATCGTCTCAAAGTTCAAGGTCAATTTTGTTGTTCTATTGTCTTAGACGAGTGAGGAAAATAACATGTTGCAGTTGCTTCAGTCTATTTGTTGGTCCATGTGATGAAATCATGAAACAGGTTAAGTTATTCCATTTCTTGGGTTGCATGTGATTTAGCTGCTGTTTGATGATACTGATATGATTGCCTTCTACCTGATAAATGAAACCTCTGCTACTGTGCCTTCCAATTTTTTTCTTTCTGACATTATTTAATGCTTTTCAGGAAAACGTGAAAACAAAGCATCCTCAACTGCTTTATGAGTCCAAATTGTACAAAATTCTGCAAGGAGGAAGTAATGAACTTATCTTCCATTCTCGACACTTAATTGATTCTAAAGCTGAATATAACAATATATTATTTTCCCGCATTTTGATATTAGTCTTACTTTGATATTGTCTGATGTTGGCAGCTGGAATTCCTAACGTAAGATGGTTTGGTGTTGAAGGAGACTATAATGTTTTAGTCATAGATCTACTTGGGCCCAGCTTAGAAGATTTATTCAATTTCTGTAGTAGGAAGTTTTCACTGAAGACTGTTCTTATGCTTGCTGATCAGATGGTATTATATCTTGTTAATTAGTTTTTTTAAGAAACATTTTGTTATTTAGTTGATATTTATTTTGTGTGTCAAAAATATTTACTTAGTGGTGATATGACATCCTCAGATCAATCGAGTTGAATTTGTTCATTCTAAATCATTTTTGCATCGAGATATTAAGCCAGACAACTTCCTCATGGGATTAGGACGACGTGCAAATCAGGTGTGACTGTGTGATTGTTATTTGTAGAGAAGAGTGCGTGTGTGACAGGGAGGTGTGGGGGAATGGAAGGGTTAGTTTCTCTTAGGAATATTATTAACTCTATAATTCACTAACCTTATGCAGGTTTACATGATTGATTTTGGTCTAGCAAAGAAGTATAGAGACAGTACAACCCATCAACATATTCCTTACAGGTGAGTGATGAGTTTTGTGTTTACTTTTGCAACTCATTGTTGTTCCTGTGTGTCGGAATTCATTAGCCTACTAAAGTACTAAATATGTTGCTGCTGCTGTTCCATCATTACCTTCATCTACATCTTCATCGTCATTTATTATATCATCATCATTATTCCCAACATCATCTTCATCATCTAGTTATTTATTTACGCTCTCATCATAAACTAATTGTCTACATGTCTGAATGCATCCACTAGTCTATAATAAGAATCGTGTTTGGCTAATGTTTGTGTTAGTGGGAAACATAAGTGGTTGCTGGTCTAACCTAGAGATAATTGTAGTCTGAGACTTGTATGTGGACTTGGTCTTAAATTTGGCTAGATCAAATTCATTTTCCCGACCTTTTATTTTTCTTTGTTATAACGAAGTACTTTAGATTATATCATATCATATATATGTATATATGAAGCTTGGCAATGAAATCAGCTACCACATGTTATATGTGTGTATGCTTGTGCGTTCTGTTTATGCTACATATGAAAGCAAAGAACCCCTGTTTTCTGACAACTGTTATCTGACCAAAACTATCCCCAACAACTCCAAACTTCTTCTGTTATATCATGTCCTCTAATGACAAAATATACGTGTAGTACTCTAACATAGTATATGCACTGTGTACGCAAATTGAACCGAATATGACTAGGTAAGCCTTGGTTATAGACTTATAGTAAAATGTGTATTTTCCCTGCAAATGCCTGTTGATTATTGCTTGTCAGGGCAAATTAAAAAAAATATGTACTACATTGCTTTCTTGATGAGCCAACAGCAATAGGAAGTTCTTTTTATAGTTATTTGTCATGCTAATTTGTAGTTTTTGGATTAGTCCTCATCATGCAAGATGTTTTTCTAATTTGCCCGGATGATTAGAGAAGAAGAAAAGAGAACTAAGAAATTACAGAGGGTTTTCAGAAGAAGAATAAAATAATGGAAAAATGATGTAATGGGAAGATAGAGGAAGGTTGTATTGATATAATCAATTTTTGTGAGGCAAACATTCTCTCCAACAAAGAGAATTATCACAACAATCTGAAATTCATAATGATTCTTTCTCATCTCATCTTCCTGTTTATTACAAAACTGATTATCTAATTTTTCTCACCATAAGGGCATGCTTAGATTGAAGGTAATGCATTAAGGGATCAATAATAAAAGAGAATGAAGGTGAGAAGAGGTGGTTGTGACTTGTGAGGGGATGAAGTAATGGAAGTGTCTTCTGGTGGGAAGAAAAGAGGGGGGGGGGTGTTTATTAGCCTCATATGGATGGTAATATTAATAGCTATCCTAGGGTGATGCCGTGATGGTGGGTAATATTACTCTCATTTTGAGGATAATAAGTCTTATCAACCTATCTTCTTCCTCATACCAGCACTACCTCATTTCCTTTACCCCCATGGCCCACTCCATCCCATTAATCACCACCTCTGCTCTCCATTTCCTTAGGTTTATTTTTTTTACTACCTCCCTAATGCATAACCCGTGATCCAAGCTTACCCTAAGAAACACTCTTTTATTCATGCATCACATTCCTCTGACAGAATTGACATTGTGTTCGAGCCATATACCCTCGACTGCACTTGCTGTAGATGATGTGGATAGGTGGCTGCCTACATTTAGTGTTGTAATTTTCCTCAAATTCTTAGATTAAGTTTTCGTTGTGTTTTTTTCTTTCTTCCTTTTGATGTTGCAGTTGTTTCTTTGTCCTGCCTCCCTCTCACGTCCCTCTTCCCCCCCATCCTCCCCTCACCCCTCTCCTAGAAAAAAGTTGATGCTGAAGTGATTTACCAAACACTCATCTTAAAAAATGATGTGTGATATTTGTCTGTTTGCTGTAGGGAGAACAAGAATTTGACTGGGACTGCTAGATATGCAAGCATGAACACTCACTTAGGAATCGGTATGGTTTGCCAATCTATTGTCTATTGATAATTCCCCACTCATTCTCCCACTTCCATAGTCTCATCTATAATGGCTGTTAAAAGTAAATTGCATTTAAGTGGCTATTTTTAATGCTACAAGCAATTTTGATGTTCAGAACAAAGCCGGAGGGATGACTTAGAATCACTGGGTTATGTTCTTATGTATTTTTTAAGAGGAAGGTGAGCACTGGTTGTGTTCAAATTTTACACTTTTGCCCTTTCTTTTTATTTTATTGGTATTGAGTCTATATTTCTTGTAGTCTCCCCTGGCAGGGGCTGAAAGCGGGGACCAAGAAACAGAAGTATGAAAAAATTAGTGAGAAAAAGGTCTCGACATCTATTGAGGTAATTTTGTCTCTTCTAGAAGCCTTTTCTATGGTTTGAAGTAATATATTGGTCTGCTAATTACCAATGTCTATCAGGCTCTATGTCGAGGTTATCCAACAGAATTTGCATCCTACTTCCATTATTGCCGTTCACTGCGGTTTGATGATAAGCCAGATTATGCCTATCTGAAAAGGATCTTTCGTGACCTCTTTATTCGTGAAGGTATATAAGATTTGTCTATTTATTCTTATTATTATATATTTGTTGATGGGTATTTCGCTTCCCTTTAGGTTGCCTTGATTTTTATTGTGGTATTACTTTGGTTCAGGATTTCAGTTTGATTATGTCTTTGATTGGACTATTCTGAAGTATCAGCAATCTCAGATTGTTGCTCCCCCTCCACGCGCCCTTGTGAGTGAAATTGGTCTTAGACTATTTTAAAATTTTAACACTACGGCTTTAGTGTTGATGATTTATGTATCTGTTTAATGACTGTATCAGGGTGCTGCTGGACCAAGCTCTGGGTTGCTTCATGGCGCTAGTGACAGACAACCTGGTACCTTTCTACAATATTACCTTCTTTATTAAATGCTTCAATTCACCCACTATTCCATGCGTCCTCCAAAAACTTTTATACAACTATACATTTATGTTTTTGCTGAGTTTTTTTTTTTATTTTTTTTTAAATATGAAATTTTACCATTTTTATATTACCACTGTGTTTTATAACTTTTTTTTTCCTGGATATAAAAGTGCTCAATTAGAGGAAGAGAGAAATAGAGTACAAGAAAGTCACCAACAAAAGAAATATCTATAGATCTAGCTACAATAAAAATCCGAGTAGAATACTTCTGAGGATCCAATCCTGATAAATGGGTTGCATCCCAGTTCTGTTGCTTCCTATTGTCCTTTTGTAAAATTTCTTTCCTGAGTAAACAATTTTAGGCTTCAAATGCTTTCTGTATGATTTACTAATTGACTCCTCTTGTCCTCCAAAACTTGTCTAGGATTGTTACCATATTGTTCTCCATATAGATTTCTATAATTTGCATGGTTGTATCTTTTTCATTCAATTTATTGCACCTACAACTTCTATTGAGCAAAGCTGATGAAAGTATTTTGTTGTAGGTGCTGAGGAAGGTAGACCTTCTAACTGGCTTTCTGCAGACTCAGCACGTAGGAGAATGCCGAGTTTGCCTAAGCAGAAAAGTCCTGTTGGAAATGATCCGGCTGCAGCCAAAGAACCCATGGTATGGTATTTTTTTTTCTGTATATATCTTGCCACTTATACAAGTTGGGGATGGTTCCTACATGTCATGCTTTTAAATTGATTCCCGAACCTTGTAATTAGATTATTAAGTATTTGACTACTGCTAGCTGTGAGCATGAATCAGCTGATAAACGTTGAGAACTTGATTAGTAATACATATCCATGTACTGGGTTAGTGGAAGACTTTTCCTGCTGGATTTTGTTAAACTAGTCATATGCAGTATATCCTAATGTTAAATCTTTAATTAATGACCAGTAAAGCGGAAAGACATTAAACTCACTTTGTTCACAAAATATTTTTTTGTTAGGTTTGGGCACACATTTGTGATTGTTTTTAGTAGGGTGATGTAGAATGTCCTAGAGAAAGAGAAGTTAACTTTATTAGTAAGAAAAAATTTGGAAAAGAAAAAATAGAAGACAATTTCAGGGAGGTCGAAGTTAAGGTCAAGAGACAACCTGGAGTTAGTTATAATGTAGAGGCTAAAGGTTTATCCATCTTCCATGAAAATACAAGAGGCAGAAGTGAGATATTATGGATTAAAAGAATTCACAGCTTGAGCAGTAACAATCCAAAACTCCTGCAACAGTTAACAAGCTCTCTAGAACTTTCCTCATTTCCTCCTTTTCTCTGGTATAGCCAATGAAGAAGTTGCATTTCTCTTTACGAGTTTGCGATCTAACTTCCTCTGCGTAGCACAGTGTTTTGATTCCAAACTTGGGGGCAGGTTCATTAGTTTCCATCAACTGATATTGGGGATTTCTGTGTGGGTTGTGCAAAGTGTGCGATTAGACATGAGAAAAACTGCAAACCAAATGCATGTTATGCGTTACAGTATACAGAATCCAATTTCTTATTATGTTTTCTTATATAGATGGTAATACCTTCATTTCAAAATGATTGTCATGAAGTGCTACTTAAGAGCTGCTATTGTTTAGCAAGCCAATTATAGAAATCAACTAAGTAATTTGGGATCCGGTAGAGATGGGGAAAAAAAGGGAGGTGGCATGGTGCTTAACTTGTTACCAATGACAAATGAAAGTATATATGTTGTCATTATGTCCATGTCATTATTTTGGACATGTAACTGTGTTTCCATGTCTTCTTAAGTCCAGAATTTTCATTTAATGATGTTAGATCCTATTCTAAGTTTGATACTCAACACTCGAGTCCTAAAACATAATATGGAAATGGAAAGAAAGACATCCAGTATAATGCAGGGTGTACTTAAAATAAATTTTCTTAAACTACCTCCCACCTCTCAAAGAATAAAAAGAATTATATAAAACTATTGTGCACCAATTTAAATTATGTCTGGCTCAATGTTCTGCGCATGCACCATTGCACCCTTACTACCAAGGTTTTTTTTTTTTTTTTTTTTTTTTTTTTTTTTTTTTTTTTTTTTTTTGGGGAAAGAAGTTATTATAGACAATTTGAACTATGGTTTGGCTCATTGTAAGTGTTGCACTGTTTTCTTCATTGTTGGGGGTCTTATAAATACAGTATAATGCAAAGATACCTTCATGATCTTACTAAGTTCAGTCTTCTGTACTTGGATCCTAGCCGTCAAAATTTTTCATTGACCTTATTGCTTTTCTTGGTCTCCTTGGCAGCTTTCTAGCTCTGCTGTGAGAACAAGCACATCAGCAAGGCGTGCTGCAGGGTCAAGTAGTCGGGATGCAGTGTTTGCTGGGAGTGATGCGGATGCCACTCGCCCTGGTTCTGGGGATCCTACTCTTCAGAAAGTTTCAAGTGGGCACCGTATATCTCCATTTGTGTCATCAGAGCATCCTCGTTCATTTTCTGCCAGGGTAGCGTCAAATGAACAAAATCTTGAATCTACCATCAAGAAAATCGAGGGCCTTAATGTTAGCAACGAAGAGAGGCTGCAGTAACAAGTATCTGCACAAAGCTTTTTTAGACGTCACTTTCCCCAATGTAAATCTCAAATATCAGTCTGTTTTATGGACCATAAGTGTTTTTCTTTCTTTTTTCCCCCCACTTTTAAATTTAGGTTCTGCTGGCTGTTCTTTTTCTTTCCCTCTTATTGTTTTTTAAATTTTTTAGGACAGGCGAAAGCCAGAAAATTGAAGGCATGAAACCAGAAGAGGTAAGTACTGTGGAAGCACCTGTAAGGAAGTTTTAATAGTCCCCTTTAATTGAGGTGGAATGCAGAATATTTACGTCTTGGTCAAATCATTTTCATGCTTGGGATTTTTTTTTGGTTTTAATTTTTTTTTCTCTCCTTTTTGGTTTTGTCATCTTTTCAAAAAAAAAAAAAAAAAAATGATTTTGTCATCACTTCACAGATTTCGTCCAAGAATATTGTAGTGGCACTCACCTCGTCTTTTCCTATTATTTTCCACGATTTTTCTTCACCCTCATTTACTTCTCTTCAACCTCCCCAACTTTATCTCTTATTTAATTAATTTAATGTCCAGGTTTTTTTTATTAAAGTAACGAAATTAATACGGAGTATGATGGTTTTGTACGAAGTACGTATTTTTTTAATTAAATCACTATGTAAGACAACAAATAAATTACTACCAAGCTCCTTTAGTCGAATACTTTCGGATTGACATTAGCTATTGCTCTCTGCTATTGTGAAGTGTTTTCCATCTCCTCTCTTACATTTGTTTGGATAGAGAGAATTGGAGGGAACAAAGAGAAGAGAAAAGAAGGAATTCATCCTCTTTTTTATGGATACCTTTTGACAAGAGTGAAGGGAATTGGACGGATTCATTTTCCCTTCTCTTTAGTAAACCAAAATTCTTCCAATGTTGGAAAGTTTTGGAGGGAAAATGTAACATCACCTTCTCCCTCCCCTCTTCCTTTTTTTTCCCTCTCTTCCCTTTCTCTTTCACTTGGCAATAAAAGCATTTTTTTGTTGGATTCGTTTATCATCTTGCACGTCCTCTGGTTTGATCCTTTGCCTTTTGATTCAAACTTCAATGTGCACATTAACAAGTGTTTCGGATGAAAACAATGGGATCTTGTCGAAGGTCCGATGAAGTGGAGAAGACTGGATTCGGTCCAAGTGATGTTGGGCCGAAGGTTTCCTGCACAGTAAACACACGTAAACTAGCCTCGGGGGTGTTGCCGAAGAAGGCCCCTCCGATGCTAAAGTTAGTACAATGTGTAGAATGAGAACACTATGCAAGAGAATTAATTGCTTGAGGCTTTTCTTGAATGAATGTACAAATGTAATATTGATGGCTTTTATACCTTTGCATATATGGAGAAGTTGGGCCTTAGCCCAATTGGCTTGCCTTGAGGACTGATCTTTGACTTTAGCACAATTGGAGAGATGAACCTTGACCTTGGGCTTTTAATTGGATCATTTAATGACTAGGCCCAATTGGACTAAATTGGACCCAAACAACAAGCAAATAATGAAGTTGTCCTTTAAGACTAGAATAATCACATAAGCAAGCAAAACTTTTCTGTTTCACGAATATTACAATAATATTGAGATGCTTTATAAAAGTTAGAAAGGAATAATTTATACATGTGATATGCTGAGATTTTTTTTAATTTTTTTTTTTAACACCTATACTTCAAGACTACAAGTAATTAAAAGTTTTCATTTAGGACGTGTTCGGCAAAATATAGTTGTAACGATTAGTTTTGATTTAGCTGTTAATAATTTTGTTTTAACAAACAATAAGTTGCTCATTTATTGCGAATATAGATACGTAGTAATTAAAACATGAATGTTCGGTAAAATAGTAATTGACTAGATGTTATATATATATATATATATATATATATATATATATATATATATATATATATATATATATATATATATATATATATATATTCTTAAAATGTATATTAAATTTTCGACAATTACTGCTAATCTTCAAAGGCTAATATTTTTAAGGATAAAAGCTACCTCCGTCACTAAACACTACTCCAACCATTCATTAGTTGGTCAAACACTAAAAACTATTAAAAAGCTACCGCTGAATACGTCCTTAATGGCTAAACGACACAAAATAATATAATAACCAATCTATCAAATATAAACAATATTGAATTAATTTTTTTTTTTCAAAAAATAATAATGTAATAGGGTAAGTTAGGGTTGATCCAACAAATTAAACTTTGCAATTTCCAAACTTATACTACCTCCGTTTTTTTAGTTAATGTTTTGACTTTAGCACTATGCCACTATTCACACACTTCCCTTTGTTAGTATTTTATGATTTATACGTAATGAAAAATATAGCCATGTGGGGTCCTGTTAGATTTGTCACTGTATATATTTTCAAAATATCAACTTTTTATAATGTTTTCTTATCGATAATAAAGATATTAACGATTGAATTTGTGCATTGAAAAACGTGACTAAAGAAACGTGTCAGCTAAAAAGAAACGGAGAAAGTATAAAATACTTAGGGTAATGTTGTATGTAGCCCTAAGGGCTATATATAAGCATTAAATATACTCTTGGAACTTGTATAAAATTAGGAATTCATGACATAAACACGCGTAAATCAGTGTAATTAGTGTTTATATATTCATGATTTCTTAACTTTTTACGATTTTCAAGTGTAAATTTAATGCTTATATGTAGCCCTTTTCATTTTTATTGACTTTTTGGAATGTAGGAAGATAATTTGTGTATGACTATTATTTAATAAAGTGATGCACTTATTTAAAAAATTGAGGGAGAACGAAGAAAAAGAGTGGTATAACTATAATAATGGGGAAAGGGGAGTGGTGTAAATTTTATTGAATTTGGGAAACCTATTAGCTCTCAACTAATTTTCAATTATTTATTTTGTTCAATGAATTTAGCTTATGTGAGCTTATATGAACTCATTAACCCCTATTTAAACTAATTCAAAATTCAAGTATATTTTTCTAGAAATAATTTAAGATGAACTAAATATGACCTAAGTTTGTTTGATATAATTGGGTTTAATTACTTGTATATAAATGTTAATCATATAACTAATATATAAAGCTAAACTTTTAGCCAGGCGACGAGACAACGACAATTGGCGTTCCAACTTTTCGCCAAGTGTCGTGCCACGTAGGATAGAATTATATATAATTCAATTTGTAGGATAAAAAAGGTAGTTTAGAATTTTATTTTTAATCAAATTTGGATAGAATTTTAGGATAAAATTGTTTATTTAGAGTTTTATTTTTGATAAATTACCAATATTTCATATGTACAAATTGAATTATAATTTTATTAAAAAAAAATTAGATTATAATTGTCATAAATTATCATATAAATTTATTTTTTGTATCATAATATTTTTTTGGAGCGAAGGAATTAGTTCAAAAATGTACCACATCCATGGTTTATAATATATTCTAATCAATTAAAATAATATACTTCACAATCTAATATAATTTTATTAATGTGTGTAGATCTGTCAATCAGGTCCGGTCACGAGTCATTTCAGACAAGGTCAAAAAAAAAAAATTTCACCAATATTATTATTATTTGTCATTACATGTCTACAAGTTTAAATCGTCACAAAAACACGTCAATTCCTAACTAATTTTGTATCAATGATATGTTTTAAAATTTGACATATAGATTAAAATATATCTTTAAATTTAATAAACAACCCGGGCATCGCACGGGCACAAAACTAGTTATACTATAAAGCTAAGTGATTAGTAATTATTTTCAATTCTAAAGGTGAAGACACTTAATTTAATCTAAACATTTATTTGTACTACTTTCAATAATTTTTATTTGCAATTTTGGGATACTATTTACGAGATATAAAAAGTTTTAAAGTTGCACATGATAATTAACGAAGGTAGTAGAATGTTTAACCCTAAAAATACGGGTGAAGAAAAACATTTACTTGTGATCTCATCAATACCATATTTCCTGTTGTAAGAAATGTTGTTCATGATGAGACTGTTATAGCATCTGATTAGAAAAATAACCTTGAAACCAAAGTAAGAATTGATGCCAAGATATTAAAGTAAAGTTACCAAAGTTTGGACTTATAATATTCCAAGTGTAAGGAGTAATATTTAAACACTTTATCTGTCTATAAATGTGTGGATTTTGCCAAAACATTATATAATTCATACCACATACATACTGATGCGGTTCCAAGGCATCAATATTGTTATTATAATTATTTTTATTGTTATTTTTAGTTTATTATTAGATGACCGAATTTATTAGGATATTTTTGTTAGTTTAATTCGGTTAGTATAAGATAAGCTTAACTTTAAAGATCATATTTGCAAAATATTATCTTTACAAGTTAGAATTAGTTTCCTAGTTAGATTAGAATTTATTTTACCGATTTTTAGGCTAATTATTTAGCTTATAAATACGTGATGGTGTTTAACGAAAAGTAGGATTGATTTGAAATTTATAAAGTTTTACGTAAGCTTGTGCTTGTGTATTCTTGGCCTAGTTTAGGTTTTAAGCTCGTGTTGCTTAGCGTTTCTTGACCGAGACTCAAGATTCCAAACCTTTCAACTGCGATTGAAGGTTATATCCATCAAAATTCATATCAAATTGGTGTGGCTGCTGGGATGACGAGGGACGAGTTTGACAATTTGTGTCAAAAAACTCAGTTTCGAATGTCATATTGATCGACTTGGTTCTCCTTCGTTTCTAAAGATTTTGAGGGGATTCTTTTTTTCAAATTGGTTAATTTTTTGTCTTGTTTTCACCTGCAAAATTTGAAAAATTTTCAAGTAGACTAGCTATTAAACTGAGTTCGTTCTTTACAACTGGTCAAAAATCGAATTAATCTGGCAGTGTTGAGGAAAAAATAAACTGCAATCACTTGGCTAGGAATTTTTTGCTGAATTTTCGTTCGAGTCTTTTAGACATATAGGGCTAGCAGTATAAAAAATTTCAGAATTTTTCGAGGTGTTTTCATTGGGTTTTGGTCCTCGTACTTTCGATCAATTTCTGGACTGGTTTTGTGTGTTTTCTCATCCACATAAACATGGAAAATAAAAGTTGGTTTGAAGCATTTATGATGGAAATCAAGAAAATGAATGAATGTTTGGATATAATTGATGCTCGTTTTCAAATTCGTGACGTGAGATGTGGTGTACAAGATATGTCTTATGAGAAAGAGAAACTAGAGCAACCAATTGTTGAGGCTATATACGAGGAAAAGATTGTATCTTTACCGAGTGATAATCTTACAAATCCAATTTTAGAGCAATCTCATGAACAACTAGTAGAAGAAAAAGAAATTATGGAGCACAAAAGTGTATATTTGTCTAGTTTTGTTGACGAGAAGGTTACATTTGAACTATCTAAGTTGGTAGCAAAAAGTCAAATTTCTACAACTTCCTTTTATGGTGATAATTGGGATACAAATATTTTCACGTATTATTTCCATTATATTGATTGCATTGAAAAAGGTGTATCATCAATTAAAATTTTGGAGCATTCAATTGAAGTTTGTGGTGCATTCATTGGTGTAAAATATAAGCATGACGTGGTTGGATGGAGACATATTCTTTTAGCTCATGTTCGATTAATTTGGATGATATCTTGGTTCCATGGTTTGCTAAAATTTGGGACAAGTTTTTTTCAAGAGGGGGAGTATGATGCAGTTCCAAGGCATCAATATTGTTATTATAATTATTTTTATTGTTATTTTTAGTTTATTATTAGATGACCGAATTTATTAGGATATTTTTGTTAGTTTAATTCGGTTAGTATAAGATAAGCTTAACTTTAAAGATCATATTTGCAAAATATTATCTTTACAAGTTAGAATTAGTTTCCTAGTTAGATTAGAATTTATTTTACCGATTTTTAGGCTAATTATTTAGCTTATAAATACGTGATGGTGTTTGACGAAAAGTAGGATTGATTGATTTGAAATTTATAAAGTTTTACGTAAGCTTGTGCTTGTGTATTCTTGGCCTAGTTTAGGTTTTAAGCTCGTGTTGCTTAGCGTTTCTTGACCGAGACTCAAGATTCCAAACCTTTCAACTGCGATTGAAGGTTATATTCATCAAAATTCATATCACATACCTAAACAAAAGCATTCTATTGTATTAACTAAGAGATTTCTAATCGTTTAGTCGATTATTTAATCTGTTTTCTTTTCGATCATCAGTTCATATTTTTATTCCCTTGTTATATCATGAATCCAAATTAAATTTCTTCTTCTCAGATTTCCATTTAGAAGGGGAAATGGATTGGTTGTGCTTGGCAAAAGAAGTTGGGAATGCAGCTAACGAGATTTGCAAACCCATGGACAAGATAAATGAATGCTATTCTTACATTAAAAACTACAAAGAAAACCTAAAACTTGTCCATGACAAGTACAATAAACTAAAGATAGAAAGAGATGCCATTGATAGCAGAGTTAAGCGCGAAGTGGATAACTTGCGAGTTCCTACGGAAGGAGCTAAAAGATGGCTCGAAGACGTAAGGAAACTCATGGAAGAAGTTGATGAGGGATTGATGAAGAAGCCCCAAGGATGATGAGGAGAGAAAAGGCAGAGACGTGATCACCTGCTTACGTCGTTCTCGTTGCAATTTGTGTCGACGCTATGACATGAGCAAAAAGGCTAAATCTAAGGCTGATGAAATTGATGCTATAATCAACAAAAAACCGAACGATGTCACGGAACCTGTGAGTAGATTGGACTTGAAATCAATCCCTAATGAATTTCTCAAGGGCTTGCGTTCGAGAGTAGAGCTTATAGAGGAAATACTCAAAAGGTTACGCGATGATAAAGTTGATGCAGTTGGCATATTTGGCATGGGAGCCATAGGTAAATTCAATACTTTTATATATGGTACTTTTTAATGATTTTCTAGCATCACGTATGCATGTTTCAATTGTTTTATTGGTTTAATTAATTTGACTGTTATTAACCTCTTAACTATGCCAACCAAATTATACTCAAAGCTTAGAAAATACTCCCTCCGTTCCATAATATATTTTCTGTTTTCCTATTTTATTGGTACTTGCAACCAAAAATAGAGTCGAATTCCGACGTTGGTTCTTTCCCAAGATCAGCCCTTTGTCTTTGTGTTTTCACATCAAGAATTATACCTTTTTTTTTTTTTTTTTTTTTTTTTTGCCTCTAGCCTTATAAAATATTGTCTTAACTCTCTAAACTTGACAATTTTTTTTATTTTTTTTAATCAATATGGCCATGTGTAACATATAGTTATTCACTTATATGTGTTGTTTGAGAAACTATATTTCAACAAACATAGTTGGGCTAAGATTATGATAATATCTAGCCGTGTATTAATTTTTCACCCGCCAATAATTACACCAAATTGCATGTTTACTGTTTCTAGTACGTAGTACATGTTAGGACTTGGGACTAATGCTAAGATATATATGTATATGTGACATAGGTAAAACAACATTGGTAACAGAAATTTCTAACCATGAAGAAATAAAAACTATGTTTAACTAACAAAGAAATAATTATGGTTGAGATTTCTAAAGCCCCCAACATGGAACGTATTCAAGATCAAATTGCAGAGAAAATTGGTCTGAAATGACATTTTCATAATTTCGATGTTTTCAAACTTTTTTCCAATTTTTTTAACTTTTAAGTCAATTTCATTTACTTTAAGATTGATTTCATTTACTTTTACTTAATTTTCATTTACTTTTGAGAAATTTTCATTTACTTTTACTTAATTTTCATTTACGTAGTAGTTAGTACACATGTTAAGACTTAGGACTAATGTTGAGATGCATATGTATACGTGACATAGGTAAAACAACTTTGGTAACAGAAATTCTCAACCACAAAGATATAAAAACTATGTTTAAAGAAATAATAATGGTTGAGATTTCTGAAGCCCCCAACATGGAACGCATTCAAGATCAAATCGCAGAGAAAGTTGGCTTGAAATTGGATGGTGTGCACAGTGTAGAGCAGAGGAGAACATCACTGTATAACCGTTTGGAGAGAGTGAGTAAGATACTCATAATCTTGGATAACGTCTGGGCTAAACTTGATTTGAATAAAGTGGGGATTCCAAAACCTCATGTGAATCAAAACAAGTTTTGCAAGATTTTGGTGACAAGCAGGGAGAAGAATGTGTGTGAAGCTATGGAGATATCGAAGAATAACATATTCGAAGTAAAGCCATTAGACTATGATGAATCAAAGCAACTTTTCAGAGCACGAATTGGAGCAAAAATCAACGACGATGGCTGGAAAGACCCACAGCGCGAGGACATGGAGAAAAGAATGCTGAATAGGTGTGGAGGACTTCCTCTTGCAATTGTGGCATTAGCGGATGTGCTAAAGAACGAAGAGTCGTTAGAAGCATGGAAACACTTTGCATCTGATTTGGAAAAACCTATGTCAAATAGTTTAGCCAAAAGTAGGGGTGTACATCGTCAAGCCTACACAATTTTGGAAACAAGTTACAAGCTTATGGAAGATGAAAAGAAAAAGAGGTTCTTCTTGCTTGCTTGTTTGTTTCCATTTGGTGCAAGGATACCGATTGAAGATATGATGAGGTATGGCATCGGATTGGAATTGCTTGAGAATGTTGACAATCTTATCGAAGCCATGGAGCAAGCCAACAGATGGGTGGAGGAGCTCAAATCATCATCTTTGTTGTTAGAAGATGAAGATTATAAACAAATTCATGTGAAAATTCATGATGTGGTTCGGGCATCTACAATATTTCTTGCAGAACAAGGTATGTAAAGGCTTTTAGCTTATTTTTATAAAATATAAAGTATTTTGCATGTAATTTGAATGAGCTTCGATCCTTTAATTTCTTTTATTGCTTTTTGAGCTATAAACCACTAATGAAAAGGTTTTAATTGGAAAATAGAAAGTACATACACTAAAAGCTCTTCATCTATGAAATAATATACTTATATATGGGCTCAACTTGATTAATAATTGTATTATTAGGAAAATACAAGTTTATTTACCAAATAAATTAGTACCGTAGTGTTTATATTATGACATTTTCTTAAATAAATAAACAACTTTTATCAAATATGGACCCATAACCAAATGAAGTTAATTTAAGAAAGTGTATTAGAATATCCATATTGACACCTTTAGGATACCTTGACACCTTTGTATAGGCCATATAATCCATATTGGCGTATCCAAGTGCGTATATAGACTTTACAAGTATGCAGGTAATGCAACACTTAAATTCTTAATTTGTAGAAAAATTTGTGAGAAAAGACCTTTTAAGAGGTCGACTTTGTGAATAAGGATCTTTTAAGCCAAAAGTTGTGAGAAATGACCTTATAAGTTGAGTGAGGTTGTGAAGAAGAATTTTGGCTGGTTTTCCGACTAGTCAGCGCGTGACTCTGACATTACTTATCATGCATGTTCCTAGCACATGACACTTACAAAAAAAAGACCCTTTTGCACTTTTTCCCAATATTTTCCTTCATTTTAAACAATCCTGTGCTAGGCACATGAGGGAAAAAAGTAATTGGAGGTCTTTTTTTAGTGTCATATGTTACGTGAAAGTCAACGCTAGATAATAATTTTCTAATTAAGCATTTAAGTGTTGCACTAAATAATAATCCAAGTAAAATAAATTTGTAAATGGTAATGCAGGTGGTGACATGATTATGGTGGAAGGCTTTCCTCGATGGATGTCGTTGAAGTCTTGCTCAAAGTATTATGCCATCTCTTTGATGTCCGGTTCTAATCATTCTCGTCTAAATAAACTCAATTACGACAAGCTTCGAATTTTGATATTAGATCATACTCGAGGGGAATTTGAGGATACTTTCTTTCAGGGGATGAAGTATTTGATGGTTTTGGTTCTACGCGGGATGAAACTTAAGCCAAAGTTACCAAGCTCCATGCTTAATTTAAAGAGCAGTCTTACAACGCTGATCATGGAGAATTGTGAATTGGGAGATATAACAGGAATTGGTGAGTTGACCAACCTTGTTGTTCTTAGTTTAAGGAGATCATTTATAGTGGAAATATCAGAGGCAATAGGGAATCTTTGCAATCTTCGCTTTTTGGATTTGACAGAGTGCAGTATTGAGAGAAATGGAATAGCTGCTAATGTCCTATCTAAGCTCTCTCTCTTGGAAGGACTTTACGCTCTTAATGGTGGTTCGGAACCATGGAGATATAATAATAATAATGATGATTCTAAAAAGGGTGAATATTCATCTTATGCCCGCTTTGCTGAGTTGAATTATTTGAGCTTCCTCAAACTGCTTCAGTTACACGTGGCATTCAATGATTGGCCAATTGATGATCATCAACTCCAATTTCTCAGTAATCTCGATCACTTTCGTATATGTTTTGGATATTGTATGATATTTCCAAGAGGATACTCTCGTGCTTTATCCGGGATTTACGACGATTCTTGGTCATCAATTGTAAGAAATAATGGTGTAAGGGTATTACTCGAGAAGACTCAATATTTGAGACTAGAATGGATGACGGAGCTCAAACATATTAATGATGAGATCCAACAACAAGAAGAAGACGAAACCAAAATGCAGTTGAGTAATATTCACTTTCCACATTCGCAACAGTTGGATGTTCGATGGTGTCCAAAGATGCAATCTCTCTCATCTACACCTTTCCAGGCACCCAACTTGACTCCCAACAACAAACTCAACAATCATCCCAACAACAATCTCAACAATCACAGGTTGTGCAAGATACAATCAATGATCGACAGCCACCACCACCACAAGCACCGCCACCATTCATACTCTCTCCTCCACCACCACCATTGCCTTCGCCTCCGCCTCCGCCTCGACTGCCTCCTCCGCCTCCTCCTCCAATTTCCCCACCTCCTTCGTCTCCTCCGCCTCCTCGAGTGCCTCCTCCTCCGCCTCCACCATCATTGCCGCCTCTGCCATCGCCACACCCTCACCCACATCGTGTGTAACTGATGAGAGCAGACATTGGGGAAAGAACAGCAGCTCGTTGCTCTATATCCAAGGCACTGTCATGATTGATGATTACTCAAGATTCGATTTTTATTACAATTTTTTTTTTTATATAAATCAAACCGGTTAAAAACGGTAAAAGGAGGTCACCGGGACGGAATATTCCCTCCGGTAAGTACTCTGCCATACTTCGGTACTCAAAATGCAACAACTGATACTTGAGTACCTTATTTGCAACTTTAGGCAAAGTTTAGTACCCACATTCACCCTTAACTCATACTTTGTCTATATTACACGTAAAATACTACGTGTACTTTTAATTTGTGGAATAACATATGATACTGTGGATCTTTTCTCAAAATGGCTAATTTTACAAAAGTATTTACCAAAACGGCTAATTATAAATTTTAATTCTCAAAGTAGCTAATTTATTAGTTTAGAAGGAAATTATCTATCTCTTATATTCCTTTGAACCGGTTTGGTTCATATTATGAGTTTTTTTTTTTAAAAAAAATATATTATTAAAAAAAATTTGGATTTTTGTTTTTCTATGAGAAATTCTAATGCCATAGTTTAAAATACCTCATTAATTTGAACAATAACATTCAACATAATATATTTGCAACAATTCTTAATTTTTAAAAATTTTACACAAAATAAACAATCACTCAAAAAACTTGATCCAACTTCCAATCGACAAATTAAAAAAAAAAACACATGAAGATAGAAATATATTAAGGTCTAAAGGCCCAAAGTTTCTAATGCATTTACAGGGAGATCGAAAAGGTGTATTAGAATAAGATAAAAGGCTAAAATTTAGAAAGCAAGTAAGAACAATCAAGTCTTGATTTTAAATAATTAGTGTTGATAAGTATTAGGTGACTCGTACTTCGTAGCTTTGTCCGCCCGATCGGGCGGACATTGCCCGGTCTGACCGGGCGGTGGGGGTTGGATACGTTGAAGCATTCGTATGGAGTTTTCTTCTCGCGCCCGATCGGGCAGACCTTGCCCGGTCTGACCGGGCGGAGAAGGAAAAATGCGGAGACGCGGATTTTACGATTTAAAGTTATCTTTTATGTTATCTTTTTGCCCAAGTATCTTTTATTTTAGGAATTAATATAAAACCTCCCTAATATTAGTATAAGGGTTAAGAGAGACAGAGTGAGAGCCGTTCTTGAGAAATACAAGAATCATCTTTGTAATCTTTGCAGTTTATAGTGAAATCATTCGATCTCGGTGCCCGTGGACGTAGCTATCACATCGATAGTGAACCACGTAAATTCTTGGTGTTGTTCTTATTGTTTGCATTGAATTTCTTTATTGTTTTCTTGTTTGTTTTCGACCTTTGCTTCCGCTGTCGCACAACAATTGGTATCAAGAGCTCAGGTTCAATCCTTGGAGAGTTTCTTGAAGATAACAATGGCAGGAGATTCAACAATAAGAATTGAGAAGTTTACCGGGAAAAATAGTTTCGGGCTATGGCAAATTAAGATGAAGGCTCTGTTAAAACAACAGCAGATATGGCGTCCGTTGGCTCCAAAGAGTACTACTTCGGAGTCAGGAGACGGACCGACTGACTCGCAGTTAGAAGTTATGGAAGAGAAGGCACACTCTACCATATTACTTAGTCTTGATGATCAAATCATCACGGAGGTTGCTGATCAGGAAACGGCGGCTGGATTGTGGCTGAAGCTGGAGTCATTGTATATGACTAAGTCGTTGACCAACAAATTATTACTGAAACAGCGGTTGTTTAGCCTCCGGATGCAGTCAGGTACTTCCTTACGGGAACATCTAGAAAAACTTAACTCTATTTTGCTTGATTTACGTAATTTAGATGTTAAAATTGATGATGAGGATGCTGCGTTGATTTTACTTGTATCTCTACCGTCTAGCTTTGAGAATTTTGTAGAGTCTTTTGTTGTTGGTAAGGATTCTATAACCTTAGAAGAAGTGAAGGCAGCACTTCATACTAGGGAACTCAGAATGAAAGCTACGAGTGATAATGGGGATAATGGTAGTGGGTTATTTGTTAAGTCCGGAAAGTCTAAAAAGAATAAGGGGTTTAACAAGGGGAACAATGCTGGGTCGGGTGCTGGAAACGGCAAGGATGGATCTAGTAAAACTACTACTAAAACATGTTATTACTGTAAAGAACCGGGTCACTTTAGGAATAATTGTCCGGTGAGGAAAAACAAGTCCCAGGCTGCTGTAGTTGAAGAGAAACCGAATGAGAGCTATAATTCAGAGGAAGATTTAGCATTAGTCAGTTCTGCTAGGTCTGATGATTTATCTGATAACTGGGTTCTAGATTCGGGGTGTTCGTTCCATATGTGTCCACGTCGAGATTGGTTTGATACATATGAACCTCGCAATGGGGGTATGGTTATAGTCGGTAACAATGCTCCATGTAAGGTCACAGGTATTGGTTCCATGAGGTTGAGGACTGTTGATGGGCGGAGGTTAACTTTGACTAATGTACGGCATGTTCCTGCTTTAGGAAAGAATCTGATTTCATTGGGTACCCTGGATGAATTGGGGTACAATGGTGTGTTTTCAGATGGGGAGTTGTGTATTTTCAGAGGTTCTGAGTTGGTACTTAAGGGTATCAAAAGGAACACCCTCTATGTTTTTGAGGGTGTTACACTGCCTAGTTCTGCGGTTTGCGCATCTGTATCTCACCAGGAGATGACTAAGATTTGGCACATGAGGCTTGGTCATATGGGGGAGAAGGGGATGCAGCTATTGTCCAAGAGGGGTCTTCTATCCGGGGTCAAGGTTGCCAACCTTGAATTTTGTGAGCATTGTGTGTTTGGTAAGAAACACAGGTCAAAGTTCAGCAAGGGTGCTCACATTACTGATGCAGTGCTCGATTACATCCATTCAGATTGCTGGGGTCCATCTAGAGTTGAAGGTATGGGAGGTTACCACTATTTTGTGTCATTTGTTGATGACAAGTCCCGATACACATGGCTTAGGTTGCTTAAGTCAAAGGATGAGGCCTTCAAAGTTTTCAAGCAATGGAAAGCTTTGGTGGAAAATCGACAAGGAAGGAAGATCAAGAAGCTACGAACGGACAATGGGCTAGAGTTTTGCAAAGACGAGTTTAATCAGTTCTGTGCAGATGAGGGTATAGGTCGGCATCATACTGTCAGGAAGACACCACAGCAGAACGGTGTAGCAGAACGGGTTAATCAGACACTGCTAGAGAGAGTTCGATGCATGCTCTCTAATGCAGGGCTTGGGAGGAGGTACTGGAGTGAAGCTGTGTTAACAGCTTGTTATGTCATTAATAGGGGTCCTCATTCTGGAATTGATTCCAAAATTCCGTTTGAGATCTGGAGTGGTAAGTTGCCTAATTTTTCGAATTTGAAGATTTTTGGTTGTGTTGCTTATTATCATGTTATTGAGGGTAAGCTGGATCCACGAGCCAAGAAGGGGTGTTTTGTTGGGTACGGGGATGGTGTGAAGGGGTTTAGAATTTTTTCACCTTCGGAGGGTCGGGTCATTCTTAGTAGGGATGTTACTTTCGATGAAAACACCATGTATTCAATTAAAAATGCAGAGATTTCAGATTTGAGAAGGGAAGGAGACAATTTATTACAGACAGATGGGGTACTTGAGGTACATCAGTCTACCATTGCTGATTTACCTCGGGTACAATATATTGATGATGATGCTGATGTTCCAGTGCCGGGTACTCCTGAACCTGAGATTACTCCTACTCATTCTAACTCTGGGGATGAGGTGGAGCAATCTAATCAGGGGTCATCTAGTCAACCTGACACCATTCTTGAGATGCCTAAACGAGTTATCAAGAAGCCTGTTAGATTGATTGAAGAGATGGAGGGAAGAAATTGCTGTGTTGATGCGATGACAGGTTATGCATTGAGTGTAGCTGATGATGTAGAGTCATTTGAACCTGCCACATATAAACAAGCAATTAGTTGTAGTGAGTCTGCGCAATGGCTTGCCGCAATGGGTGAAGAGATGCAGTCTCTTTACAAGAACAGAGTGTGGGAACTGGTAAAGGTACCGGAAGGGAGGAAGCTTGTGGGTTGTAAATGGATTTACAAGAAGAAAGAAGGGTTGTCGGAAACTGAGCAAATACGTTTTAAGGCTAGGCTAGTTGCTAAGGGGTTCAGTCAGGTAGAAGGGGTTGATTTTGTTGAGATATTCTCACCTGTGGTTCGACATACTTCTATCCGTGTGTTATTGTCAATTGTAGCACATTTTGATCTTGAGCTGGAGCAGTTGGATGTTAAAACGGCTTTCCTTCATGGCGATTTGGAGGAGGAGATTCTGATGAAGCAGCCCGAAGGATTCGAAGTTCCTGGAAAGGAACACTATGCCTGCAGATTGCTAAAGTCATTGTATGGACTTAAGCAATCCCCCCGACAGTGGTACAAAAGGTTTGATTCTTTTATGGTTTCACAAGGTTTTGACAGGAATTCATATGATTGCTGTGTGTATCATAGTAAGCTGGATAATGGTTCCATGATTTATCTTTTGTTATATGTTGATGACATGTTGGTTGCCACAAAGAATAAATCTGATATTGCTAGATTAAAGGAGATGCTTAACTCGGAGTTTGACATGAAAGACTTGGGTGCAGCTAGGAAGATTTTGGGTATGGAGATCTACAGGGATCGGGCTAGAGGTAAGCTTTTCTTGACTCAGAAAAGCTACATTGAAAAGATTTTGTCTCGTTTTGGGATGGAAAAATCGAAGCCTATAAGTACGCCAACTACTGTTAGTTGTAAGTTGTCTTTGTCTATGTCACCTCAATCAGAGGAGGAGTTGTCTTATATGTCTAGAGTTCCATATGCAAACGCGGTTGGTTGTTTGATGTATGCTATGGTCTGTACTAGGCCGGATATTGCGCATGCTGTTAGTGTTGTAAGCAGGTTTATGGCTCGACCTGGGAGGGAACACTGGCAAGGGGTGAAAAGGATTTTTCGCTACCTGAGAGGGACAACTGATATTGGTCTTGTGTACGGGAATGGTAGGGAATGCTTGGTCACTGGGTACAGTGATTCTGATTATGCAGCTGATGTGGATACCAGGAGGTCTGTGACTGGTTATGTGTTCACTTTGGGTGGTTCTGTGGTTAGTTGGAAGTCTACATTGCAGTCATCAGTTACGTTGTCAACTGCTGAAGCTGAGTATATGGCTTTAACTTCTGCAGCTAAGGAGTCTATTTGGCTCAAAGGCCTAGTAGGTGAACTGGGTATTGCACAGGATTTTGCTACAGTGTATTGTGATAGTCTAAGTGCGATTTGCTTAGCTAAAGATCAAGTACACCATGATCGGACGAAGCACATTGATGTCAGGTATCATTTCTTGCGTACTGACAAGAGGATTAAGGTGAAGAAGATTGGGACTGCTGACAACCCGGCTGATTTCTTCACTAAGCCTGTTCCGTTTAGCAAGTTTAAACATTGCTTAGACTTGCTAAATATTGATTACTACGTGATGTAGTAGGCCTTGAGGGGCGAAGTTGGGGAGCTCCTGGTGTAGGTGTGTTGGCCTTAAGGTGGAGCTTGCCCGGGGCTTGTGATGCAGGTGGAGCATTATGAGTTGTTATACTTGGAGACGAGTATGTGATGGGTCTTGGTTGAAGACTTATCGGGATGTATGGCTTATGCATGAGTCTTGCATCGGGTTTGGCTTGAGATGTTTTTCCACTATGTCTTGATGGGGTCGTTTGCTGACTACGAGTTCTCGTCAAGGTGGAGATTGTTGATAAGTATTAGGTGACTCGTACTTCGTAGCTTTGTCCGCCCGATCGGGCGGACATTGCCCGGTCTGACCGGGCGGTGGGGGTTGGATACGTTGAAGCATTCGTATGGAGTTTTCTTCTCGCGCCCGATCGGGCAGACCTTGCCCGGTCTGACCGGGCGGAGAAGGAAAAATGCGGAGACGCGGATTTTACGATTTAAAGTTATCTTTTATGTTATCTTTTTGCCCAAGTATCTTTTATTTTAGGAATTAATATAAAACCTCCCTAATATTAGTATAAGGGTTAAGAGAGACAGAGTGAGAGCCGTTCTTGAGAAATACAAGAATCATCTTTGTAATCTTTGCAGTTTATAGTGAAATCATTCGATCTCGGTGCCCGTGGACGTAGCTATCACATCGATAGTGAACCACGTAAATTCTTGGTGTTGTTCTTATTGTTTGCATTGAATTTCTTTATTGTTTTCTTGTTTGTTTTCGACCTTTGCTTCCGCTGTCGCACAACAATTAGAGTATACAACTGTTGGCCATAGAATCGTTTTATTTGCTCCAGAAAAGATGAACAATACTTAATTTCCCTTATCGTGGTATAATTTGCGATAGTCTTCATAGAACATTACTACTTGAAATTTCAAATTTTTGTGATTGATGTGATCTAGAAGAAAAATTAGGCCTTTTTTTTTTTTTTTTTTATAATCGAAATTAGAGTTTTGCCATTGTTTGCATACTCCTTAATTTTGTATATTGCTTAACTTTTCCAACTTAAAAAATCTTTTTGAAAATAAAAAAATAAAAAAAGTGAACCAAACAAGTTCAAAGAAAATAAGAAATAGACTAAATTACTTCTAAGTTAATAAATTAGCTAGCTTGGGAATTAAATTTTATAATTAGTCGTGTTGGTAAATACTTTTATCAAACTAGCCGTTTTAGTAAAAGATTCTGATACTCAGTGGTGAATCTTGACAATTTTTCTCAGGGGGGCCAAATTACCTTAATATTATTAATTATACAAATATCTTAATACATATATAGTAAAGCATTCTTAAAAAAAAATTATATTATCCTTAATATTATTACTCCCTCTGTTTCATAATGTTAATCCCATATACTATTTTGAGCGTTCTACCCATATTGAATATATTTCATTTATAACTTGATTTTTTTTGGAATTAATTGGTTGTGGATTGATGACATGACTCTAAGTAAAGAAATATTTACCTTAAATTATGCAATTATGACTTGTGCTTTCATAATAAAAAAAATCAAAAAAGTTAAATAAGGTAAACTAATTATGAATTATGTTGTACTTTAATTAATGTTAGATTCCAAATATAATTTTTTTCTTATTTTATGTGATTGATTCCATATGGGACTAATATTATGAAAAGGAGGGAGTAATTACTATAAAATACCATTAAAATAAAATAATCATTGATATAATTTTATTCCAATATATAAGTAATTAACCTTTGACATTAATTCTATAACTCATAACTTTAAAGGGTGGATAAAGGTGTTATTTACTTACTGAGTATTTGTTATAATTAATAAATAAAAATCAAATAATAGCTTAGTTCATTAGCTAAGGCTCAAGTCTACACACAATGTATAAATTGAAGAGGAAATAATAATTCAAGGCATTGGAATTGTGGATAAAAATAATGCATAAATTGAATAACAAAAAGAGATAACTAAAAGGGTAATTTTATAATTTGTGTAGTGCAAATAGCTAGTAGTGATCCAGTAAATTCACGTGTGTTTCATTGCTTTGGGATTTGTGCAAGAAAGATAAAGTGAATAAGTCATACTTCTAGTATGAGTGAATGACATATACTCACCTAGTAAGCTTGGACGCTTCATACAAACTACTTACGGTAACTTTTGGGCTTTTTAATAGACATTGAATGAAAACAAATTTTGAGGGGGCCAAGCCCTTGCTCGCCCCTTCAAAGGTCCGCCCCTGCTGATACTGTCACAACACTTGCAGGCAATATGATACCCCTTTTACTAAATTAACCATTCTAATTGTCCACCATATATATATCTTTCAAGAATTTTCAATTCTTCTGATTAATGTAGAGTACATGTTATATCAACTACTTGCAGACAATATTCCCATCGCTGAGTTTGATTTGGTGTCATAAAATAGTACAATTGTGGGAAGTGAATAGTAAGGAGATGACTTACTATTCCAGCTTTAACAATTTGCAAAGCTTAGATATTTATGGATGTGAGAAACTTGAAAGTTTGGGATCCCTCTCGAATCTCGATAGCAACTGAAAACATTATCCATAGGGGGATGTCCACTGCTAAGGGAAGTCATAAGTTCCAATAAATAGTATATTGGTTTATAGCATATTCATTCATAATTATTAAAGACGTACTCAACTCAAAATCATGCAATTGGAGATCAGAGATATTAGTACTATGTTGAAATATAGATGTTGGATTTAAAATGTTACATTTTTCATGCAGTGTGAAGGCGTTGTCGAAGAATAAAGTAGAGGATGGAGTAGCAGTTATACAAGCAGAAAGTTTCAAATGCCATTGATCGTAGAAAGCTTTTGCTTGATATGGTTGCCAAAGAACCAAATTCTTCCTCCTTTGTATAATGAACATACAATAATCTGTTCTAGACTTCTAGCTAGTAGCTAGGGGATTGTAATGTTGCATGCATGTATTATTGGATAGTTTGTTATGTTTTATACTTGGTATATATTGTGTAAATATTTAATCTGTATGTAATAAGAAAATGAATTGTTGCTTGGACATATTCAGAATAAGGGTATTAAAGTTGTCGGCGAAGAAGTTTTTCCGTCCCTTGAACGAGTTGAGATAGAAGACTGCCCCAAATTGCAAATGTTCATATCAATATCAAGAGAAGATCTTAAGGATCAAGTTCTAAAGTTGCCAACTTTGCAATACTTGAAAATTAACAAATGTCCAGAAATGGGTCATTTTCGTTTTGGACCTCTTTTAAAGGCACCCAAATTAAAACAAATTACATTAAATGATGACAATTATTCAGTGGATTGAGACTACAGACATTAATTCTTTTCTCCAAAACAGCCATCAATCCAAGGTATTGCTCTCCACAATTCAAGCTTTAATACAGTATGATTTATTTGTGTGTATTTATACAAATTGTCATTTTTAATTTTTTTTAAAAAACTATATTTGTAGTGTAATGGCGAACACTTGTTTTTTCAAGCCTTTCCGCTGCTAAACAATCTAATTACAAGGTAGTGAGGGATATCTTAAGTGGTTAGAGATTCCCTCCCGGTTCCAGGTGATCCTGGAATCGATTCTCATCACTCGTCCTTGTAGCTCTCAAAAATAATAAATAAATAAATAAAAAATCTAATTACACCCCCATTATCTATACTTTATTATTTATTAAAAAGCTTTCCTAAAACAAAATATGTGTCACTTTGCACCCTACCTTTCTCATGTAAATTGACAATAAAAATATTTATCATAAGTTTTGACTACAAGACCATAAGATTTAAATTAACATTATTGCTATCTTTGTTATCTTTTAATTACGAACCACATAAAAATACTAAATCTTTGTTTAATAAAATATCAATTTGAGTGCCGTATTTAGTTTCATTAGTTATTAGGAAAAATTGAAAAGAATAATCCCACCTTTGCTTGATTTGCTCAAAACGAGCCAACCTTTAAGTATTTCGGGAACAAGCTAACCTTTGCCCCCTATTTTCTCAAAACAAGCCCTTGACCGGTTTTATAATTTGGCAACTGGTTTTAGAAGGTGACTTGACACGTGTCACCTTCTAATTGGTCATATTTTAATAATTAAAAAAAAACAAAATTTATTAAAAAGAAAAACACCAACAACCTTACTGCCTTAGCCCTACCCCCGCCTGAACGCCGTCATCCACTAGCCTTGCCCCCCCGCCCTTCCCCGACAACCCCATCACTACTCAGCTGGTTATGGCGGCAGCAATTTCTTTGACATCGAAGGTAATTGAATTAATTGATTGATTGGTTTTTGTTTTAATGGTTTCTTTGTTTTATAATCGGGTTTTGTTTCAAAAAGATGAAATCATTAAGTACAAATTTCATGTTTTTGCGGCGAATCTACAGGGAGTAGCAGAGGAAAGAGTCGTTTTGGGATGGCGGGATGGGGGATTCGAGGTGGTGGGTGGGGTTTATGGGGAGGGCTACTTTTTCGAGGTTGTTGGGGCGTTTTTGGGGTGGCTGGGGTTTTTGGGATGGCTGGATGGAAAATTGTGAATGTTGATGGGGTTGTCGGGAGTGGAGATGGGGTTTTCGTGGTGGCTGGTAGGGTCACCGAGAGTGGAGATGGGTTTTCGGGGTGGCTGGGTGGTGTTTTGGATTGGAGGGGGTTTTGGAGTGGTTGAGTGAGGTTATTCCGGCGGGAATGGAATTTGTGGGGTGGATTCCATGGTTGGAGTGTCAGGGAAGGCGGCTAGGGGTGGGGCTGCCAATGAAGCTGGTTGTGTTGTGGTGGCAGGGTGGGAGAAGAGAGATTAAAGGAAAAAATAAAAATAAAATTAAAAAATTAACCTATTGAATAGGTAATAGGTAAAAAGGCTTGTTTTGAGAAAATAGGAGGCAAAGGTTGGTTTGTTCCCAGAATATGTAAAGGTTGGCTCGTTTTGAGCAAATCAAGCAAATGTGAGATTATTCTTTTCAATTTTTCCTAGTTATTATCATTGACTTTTTTTATTTAATTTTTTTTGGAGAAATGTTTACTGATATTCAAAGTGAAATCCGATACATCACTAGGCACACATACCAGTTTATACTTAATTAACTAAATGTCTAATGAAAAAGTGAGTTCAATTCATTTAATTAACACCCATATATATGAAATTTGGTTTAAATTAGGTTCAATGAAATCCTTTTCGCTTGGTATATTAATAAAATATTATATAAGTGAGACAACTTTTTGGCAACCAAAACAAATGTTATGCAAGTAAAATGAACTCTCTTCGTTGCGTGTTGACTTCTCACTATTCATATGTTTACTATACCGTTAACTAAGACAATTTATGTAAAAAATTGCTGCATGTGTGTGTGTTTTTAATACAAGATTATTTATATTTAGGATCAATTTAGTACACTGACGAATGTATGCATTAACTTTGACTATGTTAATTATTATGGAATAGAGGTGATAATACATAAATAAAGATATCTCTGTAGTATTAATCAAAATCTATCGTGCACATTTGATGAGATCAGATGATATTATTTTATCAGTATTCTCACTATTCCTTTTTTGTTTTTTAGATAAGGGAGAATTAAAAAAAAAAAAAAAGAAAAAAAAGTGTGATCAATTTTATTCAAATAACAATCATGCTGGATTTTAACTATTACGTTTAACCTGCAGTGAGAGGATAAGCAAAAGAAAGTCCAAGAAATTAATCGTTTGTCTCTTTGTACATAAATATGGTAACTAAGTATTTTAAAAAAAAAAACTCTTTTTCTTTTCTAATAGCTAGTTTACTGAATTTACAATAATATATGGGAGTACGTATTGCAATCCTACGTAAAATACATTGTGTAAATATTGGTTTTAAATTTATAAAAAATGATGTATATGTAATGTATGTATTGTATCAACTGGACGGATCCAAGAGGCTTACTTGGGCCATGGCTCGCCGCCCCATGAATGAAAAAGGTTGTAGTTATTTATGGCCTTAAAATGCATCACTAAGACAATGGTTTGAGTTTGAGTAATTGGTTAGTTCCTTGAAGGATATAGGATTTGAGCAAACCAAGTTAAGAATGTTAAGTCTAGGGATGTCAATGGGGTGGGGTGGGGTGGGGCGGGTCGGATGTTGGCCTTCCCATCCCCATCCCCTCCTAACATTTTTATACCCATATCCATCTTCATCTCCATCCCCATTCCCGCGGCGGGTTCAATATTTATCCCCATTTTCGCCCCGGCGGGTACAACTCCAAAACTATCCCCGCCCCACCCCCCGCTTGGATATTCATCCCCACCTTATCTTCACCAAAGACCCGCCTAATCCCCACCCAAGACCCACCTAATCTCCGTCTTAAATACACAATCTTACATAATTAATACGGATTATAATAATAATAAAAACATTCTTAAAATTACACACCTTTTTATTTACTTCATCCGTTCTTTTTTACTTGACCCGCTTTAACTTTTACACTATTCACCACCCCTCCTTTGACCGTATTTTGTGAATAATATGAAAGGAAAAACATATTCATGTTGGATCATTTTGAATTCGTCTTAATAAGAATTATCATAATATATAACTTTTATATTTTTTAATTAAGGAGAATTAAAGTTATTGACCGTTGAAGTTTTGCATTAGCAAGAGTGATAAAAGAAACAGGTCAAGTAAAAAAGAACAGAGGAAGTATAATATAAGTATAGTAAAAAGTATTATAATTAATATTTTATTTCACTTAATTATTTTATAAAATAGTATAGAAGTATATAATTTTGCTTTTAAAGATATACAGACGTGGGTATGAGGTGGGGATGAGGCGGGTACGAAGTGGGGCGGGGCGGGTACAACTTAAAATCCACCCCCGCCCCATCACCCATGGCGAGTATGATTTTTATCCCCATCCCCGCCCCACCACTCGCCAAACCAAGACCTTTGGGGCGGGGATGGGGTGGGTCTCCCACTTGACCCGCCCCATTTACATCCCTAGTTAAGTCTGTTTATACAAAGGTCAAATGACTGATTTGCAATGTTGCAATTTATTTACATCTCTGTTTTATATTTGTTGTAAGTTTGGGGTATTATTTGTGAGATATAAAATATTTCAAAGTTGAACGAGCTAACGTGAATTCTGAAATCTACTTTTTAGGTATTGAGGCTGGCTATCTTGATTTGTATTGCGAATAGCTTCATGATTAACCATTTAACCCCTCATCTATTTAGTCCATTTTTCATGGTCTCATGGGCCAATATTTTAACACCCCTTATTGGCCTAGTCCAGTGCATAAGCATAACGTTTATGGAACAATTTTACGAACCACAGTAGTGACAGTACATTTTCCATTGAATAAAAAACCACGACAATATTAAGCAATTTGTGTTCGATTTAAGTTACTGGCCCAACTACAAGTGAAAAGTGAAAAAATTATTAAGTCTGTTATATTAAGTAGCTTCCAACGGATTTTCTTCTAATCATCATAATATGACTATATGAAGAAGATGGTATAATCCCATCCCTAAACTCTTCATTATTCGAGTGTTCGATGATATATTATATATTGGGGTTCATCAATCTAACTACATATATATATATAAATCAACTTATCCTATGTCCTTGACTTCTCCTTGAATTCCCTCTAGAAAAGCACGATCCAATTTAACTTGATTATCGGAGGGGCGTACTGATAAAGAAGAGGCATCCACCCTAAATACAACAAACCTTGATAGGAATCCCTAATTTATAAGGCCATGCTTATCATATTCAGTGGCGGAGCCAGAATTTTCAACTTGGGGGGACAAAATCGTACACCGAATCTTCCTCTAAGTATTGGACTCATTTTCGTTGGACCCATTTTTATTGAGTTTCGTTCTTTTAAACAAGAATTGTCGAAGATCGGGTTGTTTAGTTGCCTTGGATTTGTTTGAATTTGGTGAATCTTTTGACATTTCCTAATTAAATTGAAAATTATATATCAATTTCCACAATCCACATCATTACATAATAACAAAACCTAAGATTCTAATTTCTAAATTTCTAATTCAACTATACATTTCAATAATTTAAATTCTCAAAAACAGGGGAAAAAAATTAAATACCAATAATTCAGAGATTAAACAATTCAATTTTCAATAAGTTCAATACTTCAAAGTTCAAAACTTCAATACCCACAAATCAACAAATGACAAATCCACAATCATTCTCAATCGAAATTAAACAAGTTGATATATACAACAATTTCATCAATTAAACAAGTAATAAGTTGAAATTCGTCTTCAATACCCACAAATGACAAAATCGTCAAATCCACAATAATTCTCAATCGAAATTAAAAAAGACTAACAAGTAATAAGTTGATATATACAACAATTTCATCAATTAAACAAGTAATAAGTTGAAATTCAGATTTACATACCTCCATTGATTTGGGTGAATTGGGTCTAGCGAAGACCGGAAGACCGAAGACAGCAAGACACCCGCCACCAACACCGACACCGCACACCGGCGACACGAACTGTCGTCTGTCGAACTCCAAGTCGCGAACTGGTGATTTGGGTGAACAGAACCGGCGACGGGAGCAGGGGTGGAGCCAATAAAGGGCGGAAGACCGAAGACAGCAAGACACCCGACACCGCCACTGGACGGGAGAAGACGCGAACGAACCAACGAAGTGCCGCCGACGAGCCTGACTGCCTGAGAACTCTAAGTCTCCAACTTTCGAACTTCGAAGAGAGAGAAATTGAGAATTGTGAAAGTTAGGGTTTAGTTTTGCAATTTCTTTTCTTCTTCTTTCTGTCTCACTTCAGTTTTTTTTTTAATTTTTTTTCTTTAATTTTTTTTTTTTTAAATTTTTTTTTTGAAAATGGGGGGACAAGTGTCCCCACATGTCCCCTTCTAGCTCCGCCCATGATCATATTATCAAAACACCTAGCAAAGATTCATTATTATCCCCAAAATATCTTCAGTCAATTTTTTTTTTGAGCAATACCCAGTCAATTCCCCAGATAAACAAATTCTAGGGATATAATTATCTTTTCAAGTACTAGTGGAGGGGTATATGCGCCTTTTCATGTACTAGTTTAGGGGTACATGTGTAATTTTCTCACCAAATAGTAAAAGCAAAACGCAAATAGTAATTGAACAGCTCACCAAAAGTATCACCAAATAGTAAAAGCAAAAAACAAATAGTAATTACCCTGCTTTTTCAATATATTTACAAAAATGCCATCAGATTAACGAAAATTCGTTTATCTAGCAGATTAACTTGTATTTTTCCTTTTTTTATATATAAAAAAAATTCAATCAATCAAATTAAATAATTTGTGTATAAGAAAAAAGAAATAACACATCAACATTTCAACCATCTTCATAATAATAATCATACAAATGAAACAACACAATTTAATCTCATCATTAACACAATACTAAAACAAAAACAACAAAATAAAACTAAAAATAAACATAAAAAGAGAAGAAATTGAAATAAAATAAAAATCAGCGCCAACCATGTACAACTTGAGAGCAAGTATGCTTAATCCATCTAAAACTCTTCCTAAAAGAACCTTTCATTTTACCTTCAACTGCATAAACTTTATAACTAGCAACCCTCTTCTTCCTTTGAAGTTCTGGATCAGTTAAACTCCACCCTTTCGTCGATGAATTCGAGTATGAAGTTGATCCAAACCCCTTGTTTTTCTTATGATCATTATTATTATTATGATTACCTTTTGAATCTTTGTTTGAAGGTTGAGGATGAACTTGCATATAATTAGAAGCATATGAAGTACTATAAGATCTTAGATCTTGCATACTTGTCGGCGGTCCACTCAATTTTCCACCTCCATTGTTGTTGTTGTTACAATTCTCCATTTGCATTCTTCCTTCTCTACATGACATAGATCTGAAATTCTCCATTTTTTTATTATTTTTTTTGTTTTCGTGTTGTGTCTAGTTCGTACTTCTATATCTTAAAGGGCTAATGCAACGCGACGAGTAATGTTACTCGTCGCGCTAGGGATGTCAATGGACTAGGTAAAGTTGTTAATATGTAATCAAGGATTTTATTCTATGAAGAAGTTTTAGAGGGAAAAAATTGAGGAGGAGGAGAAAAATGAAGAAGTAGAAGTAGTAGAATTGTAGAAATGTGGATTTGGTTAAGTATAATTGATTAAGGTGGGGTAATGTGTAGATAATTATATTTATGGATCATCATAAATTCTTGGGAACAGTTTGCTGATCCAAGTGCTGGCGTTATTTGTTTATTTATAGGAGTTGGTACTTTTTTTTAAATAAAAATTTATGTTTGAATTTTGTATGTACTCCATATATTAGAGACTTAGAGTAATTTCAGATTTGCATAGTTGGTGTTGCACTACCTACTTCACTTCTATTTATTTCTTGTTTTTGTTGACTTTTTTTTTCCTAGAGTTGGGCTAGCCTTGGAATGAGGGAAAGAATATTATTTTCCCTTTCAGAAAGGTATTTAATTAGAATATTAATATTAATTACTAGGGAAAAAAAATTAAGGAGTTCCCTCCACTCCACGTCTCTAAGTTATATGGAGTACTTCCTTCCAAAAAAAAAAAAAAAAAAAAAAAAACTTGTATCGAGGGTGAGTAATAACTTAAGTGATTAGAGCTTAGTATAAACGTATAACTAATCTATATCTATCTATACTTGGTATTTAAAAACTCAATCCACAATCATTCATATACCACATGTCCTCACAACTTATTCGTATGCCACATGTCCTCACAACTCACTCATATGCAAATGTTACTTCCCTTACCTTTTTAATATTAAAAAAATTAAATTAAAATATTACATAATGTTAAAGTCTTTGTGCATTCCGTAACTTGCACATTTAAGTAAGAAAATGAAGTGTTTAATTTCTATCATGATAGAATAAAGTTGAATTAACTATTACATAAACATATGAAGTATAATAAAAATAGTCTTATCTCTTAAACTTAAAATATAGCTTAAACTAATATGTCATTTTATATTCTACAATATTCATGTATATATACTTAACTAATTTAATTATTCTTTCTCAATTATATCTACTTAACCAAAAAAAAAAATATGGTTTTCACAGCATTTACTTCAAAAGTCATGTAACAATAACTTCGTAGTTTCAACTATTGAAAAGCATACATTTATATAAAAATAACCTATATTATAACCCGTGCATTGAACGAGCCAAAATACTAGTTAATTTTGCAAAATTTGACCACTAATGACGCAAAATTGTTGATCAATTTCATTATTAAATACAGCAAAAACTAATCTTTACTCGATTTTATAAATTTAATAAGATACTCCGTATTATATATTACTCCGATAAATTATCATAAATTAGCATATGTTATTATGTATATCATTGTACATTTAATGTTTATATAGTTAAGATTACAACCAGTAAATACTAAAGAGTCCTGTACGTTCTCATTCTCATATGCATGTTGCTGGACGTTGATGGTTGTAATTTCATTTGATCGTAAAAAGAAGGCACATGGTCCACTTGTGTAGTCAAAATTGACTACTTTTATTGATTATTTTAGCATGCATCATTAGCCATGGCCCCATAGACATGAACTACAAAATCATTTGTAATCATATTTTTTAAGCAAACTTGTAATTATGCTAATTAGCAATCAATTTTACAGATCTATTATAGCTATTATTTCCTCTACATAGAGATCTATTTGTAATTGTTTGCATTGTCTTTATAGATATCAATTGATTGGTAAAATTCAATTAAGGGAGATATCGTGATATTGTACGTACTTAAGACATTAAATTAAATTTTCTTCACAATAATATATAAATATATCCTAGTTCTGCTATAAATATTATCGTAATCCTATAATATCTATCATCTTTTACAACTAATTTTTATTATTTAGGTATAAAAAATTCATTTTGTGTGAGCTGAATACTAATTAAGTAGCACGAATTGAAGTATATTGTTTCATTTGTACTAGTTATATATTTGAAAATTAAATAACAAAATTTGTTTAAGAATTCCTAAAAATAAAAGTTTAATTTAAGAAGCTAAATATGGAGTATATATTATGGGGAACTTGTCTTTTCAAGGACAGCTCAGCTCATTACTGCTGTGGTAGCTCCACATTAAGCAAAGGGAAAGAGAAAGAGAAAACAAGGCTCTCTATTTTTTTTTTCTTTCCTATTATCGTTTAGGAAATTCTTTTATTGATCTTTGTTAGGGAAATTATTGATCTATTTTATTTCAGTCTGTTATCTTCATTTAACTTTAAAAAAGAGTAAAAGGTAAGTTAGGACTTCTTTTCTCCATCACTTTTCTTTTTCAAGCATGGTTTTTGTATCATTCACAATAATTGATGATTATATGTTGAATTATTTGAGCTACAAGGTGTGGTGTGGGCCTGTGGGGTTAAACCACTCCCACAATCCCACGTATAATATCACAAAAGATTTTAAATACCAAGTAATATACATGAGATAGACGGGTTAAATACTTATTACCTCCGTTAAACGTTATATGTAGCTTTAGGTTATTATTTGTGAGATATAAAATATTTCAAAGTTGCACGTAATATTTAATGGAGTTAGTATAAGAAATAAAGTAAAACATTATATATTGGTAGATATCATAATTTGTATGACATCTCTACAACGCCAAGTACTAACACATTCAACATCATTAGCTAGAGAATACACTTAATTGTATAGTATGACATCAAGTCTACAATGCTTATAAAGAATGTAGGATTGAATTTCATACATATCTCACTACTCTACTGCCGAATCAAAATCACAAGTCTTCATAAAAAAAGTTTAATAATAAATTAAAATAATATATTCGTATAAAAAATTGAATCTCGTACACATTATTACCGTATAGAATCACAATCACAAGTCTTCATATAAAACAACATAAATTACAAACATTGGATCTTTATTCAAGGGGAAGGCCGGAAAAGCACATGGGAAGGCCTCGAAATGTACATGCATAATGCATAAGAAGTGAGAAGCGGTCCACAAATTGTTCGTTGCACCGGTGTACTGAAGTAAATGTAAGCCACACTGTACTTTTTGTGTTGTCCAAAGGCCTAAGAATCCTAAGACAGGTGACACAATGCCGTAAGTTCGTCGTACAAGGCCGACGGTCCACACATTTTATTTCTTTTTTTTACTACTACTATTATTTAATTGCAGCTTAAAACATTTCCAAGAAATACTTGGGACATTCTGAAATTTTTATTGTCATTGTCACATACGGAGTACTTAGATTGTAATTCATATACTACGTATTTTATGTGCAAGCTTTTAAAATATAGTACGATTATTTGTTACGTCAAACTAGTCTTCTACAATGGTGTTTTATTTGGACTATAGGTCTATAGACTATAGGCGTTTATCTCATGCTGAAAGGAGATATACAACTGGATTTGGGCTTTATGTATATGGGTTTTGGGCCTATAAGCTATGTGGTTGAACATTATACTTGTATTTTTAGGTAACTATACTTACTAAAAAAAAAGTTGCCTAAATAGTTGAGAACATGAATACATGATTATTATTTTTTTAAATAGCTACTTGGCGGGCATGTTAAAAATCAAATTTTTTTTTTTTTTTTTTAAGTAAAATCAATTCAGTAAAAAAAAATCTCACACGGCATTTACAAAATATATTTGAATTTAACAAATACATAACATATTGAATCAAATAAAGAATTATTTCATATAGGCTATGTTTGTCATGTAATAACATATCTCTTTATATCCATTTAAAAGTGACGACATAATTTGTTGTAGCCCTTTTGGAAAAAAATGCTTACCTAAAAACTCTGAGAATTTCTTACTTTGTAAAAAAAAAAAAAACTCCTTTTGTGATTTTTATTTGGCCTATTGGAATCTTGAGAGAGAATCTAATTAATAAAAATAGTAGTATCCAATACTTAAATTCAAAACATAATCATGTAAGATTTCGCTAGACTGCTCATGACTTTTGATTTCTCAGTATGCACTAAGCTTATTAGAATTTTTTGTTTTACAGAGGTTGAAATAGTTAACTTACAATATTGAATTGAAAACTATATTAAATTTTTTTTGGGAAAATAGGATAAACATCAAACAAGAGTGATGGAGTACGTATTTTAATTTAAGACTATTTAAGTAGCCATGTTATCTTCACCTTGATTAATATTTCATATATAGTCAAAATAATTCAAGTTTAGTTAAATTAAGTTAATTTCATCAAAATCAGATTTAATCCGTAAAGTTCAATAAGATCCAAGAACAAATATAATTGTAAACAAGTAAAAATTAAATAAATTTTAATTAGTAAAAATTATTTAAGTTCTCATGTAAATAAAAAGATCGAAATTCATGAAACATAATTATTATATTTAGCAAAATAATTTATTTTTAGTTACCATAAATTAAATGTATCAAAAATAATTTAGAGTTAATAAATATAAGTTGAAGAAAACAAAGCCTACTTAAGAGGGTTACTTCAAAAATAATCACTATACAATTTTGTGACTAGAACATCTCCATTTAAAAGTATAACAAACATGCATTTTTTTCACCTACTTTATACTCTGATCTTTATTGATTTACAAAAGACTTCTGCTACAACATGTTAAAATTTCCACCCTCAAGTTATAATTTGAATGCAAAATCTCTCAACCGAATTAATTCTGGCAATACAACAGAATCCAAATGTGGTCTATCCTTCTTCCTAATCTCACTACACTTGAGAGCCAATTTAGCAAGTGACAAGGCCTCCTCAACAGGCCAATCCGGGATCAACGGATCGAGCATTTCGCTGAAAGTCCCTTCATCTATAGCTTCTTCAACATGGTAAGACAATGCCATAGGAGGTCTTGCCGTGATAAGTTGTAGCAGCATGATTCCTAGTGAATAAACATCGGACTTTGTCCCGAGTTTTCCTGTTTGCTGATACTCTGGATCTATGTAACAGAATGTTCCTGCTGCAGCTGTCATGTGGTACTGTGTTATTTGGTTTGCCACTGCTGGTGGGACTAGTCTTGCTAGTCCTACATCGGCGATCTTGCTTGTGTAGTTCCCGTCTAGGAGGATGTTTGCTGGCTTGAGATCGCGGTGTACCATTGGCTCTGGCTTGGCCTCGTGCAAGAATAAAAGCGCGCTTCCTACCTCTGCTGCAATCTTGAATCTAGTCTTCCAAGGTATGGGAGGTGTATTGTTCCTGCAGAACAGTCTGTCTTCTAAACTCCCATTCTCCATGTACTCGTACACGAGGCACCCATACTCCGCACAGGCTCCTAGGAGAAGTACCATGTTTGGATGTCTAATTCGTCCTAGCACTTCAATCTGTTACAACAATGCAGAATAATTAACATCAGGTTGAGTAAAACTGTTTATCTATTTCTCTCCGTCTACAAATAATAATCGTGTATTCAACCAAAAACTTAAACTGTTGGCCAAGGCCCATAAATATCTTTTATGCCTTGACCTTTGTCACAGTAACTCTTGATATCATATACTATAAGCTGATAGTTGAGGTCCAGAAATATTTTTTATACTCTTTTCACATATAGTTTTGGTAAACCGACTACCTCTTGTTGAAATTGCTTAAGTCCTTGTGATGCATCCGGCCTCAAAACCTTGATTGCAACAGGGGTATGCTGAAGGACAGCTCGATACACAGGTCCATACCCTCCTTCGCCGATTTTCAATGTAGCCGAGAAATTATTCGTTGCAACTTCAATCTCCTTAAAGGTGTATTCTCGATGGCTAACTTGGCTAGCACTTCTTGCTCTCTGTCCATTCTCTTCTTGTTTAGCGGCTCTCTCCTCCACAATTTTTCTCTTTCGAGTCTCCATTTCGATTAATCGTTCTGTCATCTGTGCTGCGTTCAATGCTGCTTGACACTTTTGTCGTTCTAATTCTGCCACAATCATCGCGCCTTCTCTTGCTAGCTTTATATTCTCAATGCTATCTTCATTTCCTATACTTTGAAGAAGCTCATCCTTAAAAACCAACAAAAAAATCATAAAAATTAGATCTTATAGTACAGTGTAATAATATGTTACAATAATATTACAAGAAATTTGCTTAAAATGTTTCTTATGATCGAACATACATGTTGCTTTGCCGTTGTAGATTGCTTGCATATTGTATGATAGAGTTCCATTGTTTGCTTTATTTCGAGCTTCAATTGCCTCATTTCATCATCCAGCTCATCCTTTATAAAAAACCAAATAGATCGCTTAAATTAGCTTGTTATTAAGAATCATACAAGATTAGTGATGTTAAAATTACGGTATGTTTCACTAGTAAGGGTGTCATTTGATACTTTACGGAACAGTTTTCCTAGGCATGTGAATAATTATAATGTAAATCCTAACACTTGACCATGTTCGAGGTTAGTAATGCTTACCGAAGTGAAGCTTTGACTTCTTGACAATGTTCGAGGACGTGGCTCATTGTTTTCACTAGGCTTGCCGCCGCTACCCTGTCGATTATGGTTCCTGCAAACATAATCGTAGGGATCCATTGAATTTGTGAACTTAAGGCATTATATAGTCGTTTCATATTTTTGCAAGTTAGAGGTATCATTTGTGATATATAAAATGTTCCAAAGTTGCAAATAACATGAAATGAAGGTAGTATATGGATTTTTTTTTGTTTTTGTTTTTTGAACTATTGACTGAGTCAATTTTGTCAAACATATTGCAAAGAAATTTTTGAAGAAATTCAACAAAACATTACAAACCTTGGAGAATTATCGAAGCTATTATTGTTGTGTGGATGTGTAGGTGGTTGCCCCATGTTTTGAAGTCTACAAGATGAAAGTTCAAATGAGCTCAAATCAAAGTTTTTTTTTTTTTTTTTTTTTTTATAAAAGCTACCTTATGTTATAGAAGATAATTAAGTTATAGAAAGGATCGTTCAAATATTCTTACCGCAATGAATTTTCAAAGCTTGAGCTGTGTCGATGTTTAGAAGGTTGCCCTTTATCCGGTGATCTAAAAGATAAACAACCAAATTGCTTAAATTTTTTGAGGTCATGTTGATTAGAAATTGTTTTATATACCCAGGTGCACGGTGCACTCAAGAGTATTTTTTGCTCATTTCGATGATTATTGCTCATTTTATCATCAAATGAACAAATAAAAACCCTTGAGTGTACCATATACCTGGGTGCATATAACAATCTATCTATGTTGATAATCACCAAATCTACGAGGGAAGCTCAAAACAAACTTAATTTTCGTACTACCTAGAGGGGTTGTCGAAGTTATTGTTGGCGTTATGAGGACGAGTAGTTGGTTGCTCCATACCTTGAGATCTAGAAGGTAAATCATCAAAGGATCTCATACTCAATTTCATGTTATTAATTATAGTAAATAGAGAGACTATAAACAAACTCAATCATTAGAACATTTAAATTACCTGTTGTAGGCATTGTCTTCTCTTGTGTTGTTGTATGGACTACCTATAGGGCTGTTGTATGGACTACCTATACGGTTGTTGTATGGACTAGCAGGGTGGTTATATGGACTAGCAGGGTTGTTGTATGGACTAGTTGGACGCCCCGTACCTTGCGATCTGGAAGACAATGATCGAGTAGGTGATTAGATGACTAAGCGTGGTAACTTAATGTATAGTCATGTTTGTGTCAATAGTTGTAAAGAATGTAAACAACCAGATAGGAAGTCTAATATGTCGCCTATTTTTTTTTTTATACCAGTATGGTAAATTCAGTAGAAAGAGTTTAAATAAACTCGATCATTAATCATTTACCTGGGGGCATTATCATTTCTAGTGCTTCTGTATGGACTATTTGATTGCCCCATACCTTTCGATCTGGAAGATCCTTGTGATCTAGAAGACGAATGGCCCGAGAAGTTGGATTGATTGTCGTCGCCATTGCTGTAACTAGACTTGGAGCTTGCAGACTTATTAGACCTTGCGGTTTTGGCGTTGGAATTAGAAGAAGGTACTTGACAAATATTAGAAGCACGCATTGAGTGTATCTTTCCTTTGTAGATAACGTACACAGTGCAAAAGTCTGGTGCTGATTTTTCCAAACTTGTAGGTACATCTTGCGGCCTAAACCTCCTATCTCAAAGGAAAAAAAAAGGCACCATTTTCATTTATATTCTTTTTCAATTATTGATAATAAATTAATAATACTCTATTAAATTTCATAAGCAAGTTAATAAAACATAATAAAGGGAAAATTGATAGCAAAGATGACCTTGTAAAAGCATTGAGATTGGAAGCGCCAACAACAATATTGCCAATGGAGTGTTCCGCAATGTAACTAATAAGTGCACTTGCCACATCGATATCATGGAGTACCACCTCGTATGCACTTATCTAATAAAGAAAATAATAAATCGAGTTATTACTTTCTCTGTCTCTAAAAGTTTTTTAATAGGAAAAGAGTATTCAACCAGAAATATTAATGGCAAATATTTGAACATTTGACATATAATTTAAATTGTGTATTATCTACCCCTTTTCGACCACAATATCCACGGTAAGGAAGAAATAGTTGTTTCACTTCAGAGTCCGATGGGGTTGAACCAGTTGGACCATAATTCATTTCTGCAAACACCCAACTTTCAAAAACATCTCACTAATTTTTAATGAACCAATACATATGTATCAAATAAATGCAGTATAGAATAACCTAAATAAATAAATAGATTTGCGTAGAACACCTTCAAACCACCCTCAAGACAACAAAACATGTGTAGATTTCAAAAGGTCAATTCGTCAATAAATCTATTTTCAAATATTATTCATTCTATATCTTTCTAAGTAAATTTTTTAATATTGTTTTGTAAGGTTAGACATTGATCATTCAATTTTTTATTTTTTTTTTTTATCAAAAATATAAATATATAACAAACTAAAAATATTATTTAAATTCTAATGAAATTTTAGATGGCAATTTCATTTGTTAGAACTTGTGTAATGAAAATATCATTTAATTTATTTAGAAACAGAGAGAGTAATAAAACACCAACGACACAATAATATACTTACGAGATTGGTAATTGTGGGTTTTAACATGAACAAGAACAACAGTGAAGTCTTTTGATCCTTTCAAAAAATGATCCACGGTCCATTGTACAGCTGATTGACTATTCTTCCCCTTATCAATTGCAATGGCAACACTATTATGCCCCAATTCTAAGGGCTCCGGTATAGCCATTAATCTAATTAATACAAAACCAATAAATAATTTCAGCTTCCTTTAATATTTTACCCAATCTTATATGCAAATTCAAGAATTCAACCAAAAAATGCATGAAATTTCAACTCAAATAAAATTAATTAATTGAGTTGAAATTTCAATTTTGCAAACAACCCTTTTTCCTCCTCCGTCCTTTTTTTCTCTACAATCTACAAACTTTTTTTTTTCCTCTTTAGTTTCTTTTCTCTCTCTCAATCTGTGAAAAAAAAATTCGGGAAATGAGTTTTCCATTTTTAACTTAAGATATCTATTTTTATTGTACACTTATCATTTATTAGAGTCAAGCGAGAACAAATCTCATTTTACGTCTATATTTGGCAAAACATGAAAAAATTATGAGTAGTCATAAATATATAACTATATCCAATGGTTTTCAAAAAAAAATTATAACTATATCCAATTATCCATATCTAATTTTGTCATTGTTTTAAAATTCTTACCATCTCTATACCAAATCACAATTCATTTTGTACTGTATAATGTATCTTAGCCCTATAAAATATGCACTCCTAGCTCAAGTTCGAGTTACTTGATTATAATGTATGGTTGGTGCACCCGGGTGCACCATGCGCATGGTGCACCCGGAAAGAACATTAGGTATATTTAAAAGAACATGGACGAAAAAATGAACATTATAGATATTTATAAAGAACATGAGCATAATATGTTCTTTAAATTTGATTATTATGTTCTTTGAGTTTGAAATATATGTTCTTTATATTATACAATATGTTCATTAATGTATGTACATTTAAAAAAAAAATAATAATAAAATTCACCCGAGTAACTAGAAAAAAGAACATGTTCTTTACTGTATTATCATGTTTTTTTTGTAAAGCCTTTATGTTCTTTGGTTAGAGGTGATCAAAGTTAGACTGACCCGACTTGATTTTGGACGGGTTTTGGGCAGAATTTTTTTTGCCCCCAAATCGGATCGGACCCAGCCCGTAAATTTAAATTTTTGGGCGAGTTTGGGATTGCGTTTTTATGTATTTTAGTTGATTTTTTTTACTCAACCCGAAAAGCCCGCACGGCCGGATCATTTTGGGCAGGTTTGGGCACAAAAACTTCAGCCCAAAACTTGGCCCGACTCGAGAAGTGAGCTGATTTTTTAACCTTACCCCGGTCCGTCCTATGATCACCTATATCTTTGTCAAACACGAACATGTTCTTTTTTATCAAATATAATGTTATTTTTCAAACACGTTTAACCACCCAAGTAACCATGAAAAATAACATGTTCTTTTTGTACAGACTTTATGTTCTTTGTAATGTCACGTTCTTGTCAAACACAAACATGTTCTTTTGTCAAACACAGGCATGTTCTTTTTCAAACACTAGCATGTTCTTTTTTTTCCATGTTCTTTAAAATATGCCTAATGTTCTTTCCGGGTGCACCATGCGCATGGTGCACCCGGGTGCACTATACCATTTTCAACTTGATTATATGTTTTCTCGCGGTGAGAAATTTTTTACAAAGTATTGAATGATGGTGAATATATAATTGTACCCTATACCTCACTTTTTATGCTCTTATTCTGGTTCTCATTTGATTGGAAAATCAATATCAATATATCATTGTTCCTACACTAGTATAATTTGAATCAATTACTTGTATGTTACAACAAAATTTGAATTAAGGGTCACAGAGTATCTCAATTCAATCATCTATACATATACTTGTATTAGTTATTTTATGTGATGCACACGTAGATTAGGTCAACATGTGAATGGCGTAAATGTCTTTCTACCTCACACACCGTGTGTGTTGAATACTTCCGTTACCAAGAAAGATCGATCTTATCACTTTTTTTATTGTACAATAATAGGATATTAATATAATCAATTCATAATATAATACAATATACTTCGTATTATTTAGTTGAGTACGTGAATCTTGTATGTAACTAGTAAGAATGTAAAATCACAACTTATATATAAAATTTTCTACAGAAAGAGGCAATCTTTTATTTTTATGGTATAATAAGCAAAGTTTAAGGAATTGAGATGATTAATGTAAGTCGGGTTAGAGTTACGGAGGTTCTATGTGATTATATATGTTAAATTGTGTAAATCTCCGTAAGTGGAGCGATGTATATCCCTCATGTACAAATAAATAGTCAGTACAAAAGTAAGCAATAAGTTTACGTACAAGATCAAGAATGTTTACAATACGGAGTATACGATTAAAGATGAGGAAAGGATAATTTCTATAATCTCACTTCCCAAAAATGTAAAAAGGAAAAGAGAAAAAGAGAGAAATAATTATTAACTCATAGTTAAATCTCTTAGCCGGGTCAATTCCGGCAAAACAACGGAGTCCAAATCAGGTCTATCCTTCTTTCGAAGCTCGGTACACTTGAGAGCCAATTGAGCCATTGCTAAAGCCTCTTGGAAGGGCCAATTAGACACGGCTGGATCGAGCATTTCCTCGAATTTACCGGCCTCAATGGCCTCTTCCATATGGTATGACAATGCCATAGGATGCCTTGCAGTGAGCAACTGAAGCAAAATTATCCCTAATGAATAGATATCGGATTTTGTACCAAGTTGTCCTGTTTGTTGATACTCTGGATCTATGTAGCAAAATGTACCAGCCGCGGCTGTCAAATGGTATTGAGTCATTTGATTCGCGACTGTTGGGGGTACTAATCGCGCCAACCCTACATCACCTATCTTGCTCGTGTAGTTCGAGTCTAGGAGAATGTTAGCCGGTTTTAAGTCCCTATGTACCATAGGCTCTGGCTTTGCCTCGTGTAGGAAGAGGAGGGATGTTCCTATCTCGGCTGCAATCTTGAATCGAGTTCTCCAAGGGATGGGAGGGGTGTTGTTCTTTCGGAACAATCTGTCTTCTAGGCTTCCATTCTCCATGTGCTCGTATACTAGGCACCCGTACTCTGGACATGCTCCTAGGAGGAGTACCATGTTAGGGTGTCTCATTCGTCCGAGCACCTCGATCTACAATAAAATTACAAACAATTTTTCAGTGGATCAAATAAATTCATAACTATCTATCCATTTTGGTGCCTTAAAGTATTGTATAATTCTACTTTCACGACTTGAGATGGTTATGTTAGAGTATAAAACATAATCTCAGGCCTCAACGTTCAGCTTAATCTTCTGGTTGAGTTGGTCTTTTAACAGGTTAACAGACTTTGAGCAACCTCATCACTTTGTAACGTGACACAATTATCTATTAAACTCATGATATAAGTACTAATTTGTTACATTACCTCTTGTTGAAATTGTTTTAGTCCTTGGGATACATTCGGCCTTAGAACCTTGATCGCGACAGGGGTGTGCTGAAGTATGGCTTTGTACACAGGTCCATACCCTCCTTCACCAATCTTCAACGAACTAGAGAAGTAATTAGTTCCAACTTCAATCTCTTTCAACGAGTACAATCGATAACTGACTAATTGGCTTGATTTGTTTCCTGATCTTCTTATATCTTCCTCATCCTGTTTTGCAGCTTTCTTCTCGGCCAATTTTCTCTTTCGACCCTCCATATCTACTAATCGTTCTGATAGTTGTGCTGCATCCATCGCGGCTTGGCATTTTAGCCGCTCTAGATCTGCTACTACCAATGCAGCCTCTCTTGCTAGCTTGATCTCCTCAATATCATCATCTCCAGTTTGAATATAATCAGCCTAAGAACAAAAGATGTTATAAATTGAATCATGACTTTTAGTTTGTATTGTTTGAAATATAACTCAAATGCATTATATTATAAATGCTTAAACTACCTGTTGCTTTGCCACACTTGCTTGCTCGCAAATCGAATGATAAAGATCCATTGTGTTCTTTATTTCAAGCTTTAGTCTCGCCATCTCAGCTTCTAGCTCATCCTTCAAAGAAAGAAAATAGAGACAAATCGAGACATCAATCACTTTTATCTACTCATAGTCCTACCTTATACTCCGTACTTCCTTGTCTCTATTTGTTCTACGTACTATAGAACAAATAGAGACAGAGGGGGTATGTACATATCATCAAAATAATATTAGTTATAACGCGACTAATGATTTTTAAATGACAACAAATAGCTTACCGAGGATGAATTTTGGGAACTCGTGGTTGAATTAGGTTGTTGTTCACTATATTCAACAGAAGTAGCAGACTCAAAACTATTGGGGTTGGAACCATAATAAGAAGGATTTCGTCCTTGATTGTATCTATCTGGTGTACTAATGGTTTCGCTACTCGAATAAGAATGTGAGTTTCTGCATACCAACACAATCATCCACAAAACTCAATTGTATTAGGCCTACAATTTGATCTATCCAACACAATTACGCCTTGTTTGTAACACGTTGCTAGAAAAATTAAGTACTCTATAGAATTTTTCGACGAATTTCATTACCTGGAGTTATTATCTGTGCTTGTATTACTATATGGAAGAGGTGGTTGTCCCATAATTTGATATAAAGTAGAAGAATTATTCGAGGAGTTATCAGAGCTCCTACTATAGTAAGGATATTGCTGCTGGTAACTTGGGAAGTCAATTTCATGTCGAATTCTCGGATTATTGTAACGACTATTAGATGTCACACGTTGCTTATTTGGTGATTCAGTACTGTTGCGTATACTTTGTGGTTTAAGGTAGTGAGGATCATGTGTCATTCGATGGTAAATGGATGATATATCAGCACCACCAACAGGCGTAACAGGGTTACTAGAGGAAGAGTAATTCCTCTCCGAATGCACCATGCTCGACCGCGATGTACCACTTGATACACTACTATTGCCAAAACTAGTCTTGGAATTGTTAGTCCTGTATGTTGAGGTTCCGGAGCTTAAACTTGACCGTCCTGTGGCCGCGATAGGGGCCGTAGGCATTAGACATACGTTTGAAGGTCGCATCGATTGCACCTTCCCTTTGTATATCACATATACTGCACAAAAATCAGGGGCTGATTTTTCAAGGCTGGTTGGAACATCTGCTGCTTTAAATCTCCTGTATATATATCAAAGAGAAACGATGATAAAAATCACATGTCTTGCAATATTATGTGTAGTATAGTTCTTATAGCAATGCGCAAAATTATGTCAGTGACGAATCTAGAATTTTTTTTAATTCAAGCATATAGATTTTGAGGTACACTTTTTATTGTATCGTTTCAATTTTATTAGATGTTCCCGAAGGGACGAGGTACACTTTTTATAGTTCCCTTAAATTGTTTTTAAATTCTTAATTTTCTATTCACAAAATAGACCATACATGTAAGTAACCTTATTTTTTGGCTTAACTTTTCAATTCATATAACCAAACATGATAACCTCGAGGAATTCATCGATACATTCAAGATCTGTTTTCCTTCTAAATATCAATTTTGCAAACAAACATAAGGAAATAGCCTCAGCAAATTCATCTTACATTCTTAAATGATGTCATGAAGAACAAATAAACAACCTTGAATAAGGAACAACCTTGTGATAGCATTACGATTCGAGGCCCCAACAACAATATTGCCAAGGTTGTTATGCTCGATATAGTTAACAAGTGCACTTGGAACATCGATATCATGAAGTACTACCTCCATCGCGTCTATCTACAATAGAAGAACATTTTAGACAAACATTGTAAAACAACCCCAAAATTTCAAGTATTACGAATAGAAATTAAGTATTGCATACCCCTTTTCGGCTACAAAATCCTCGATAAGGAAGAAATAATTGTTGTACATCGGAGTCTGTTGGGGCTAAACCGGTTGTCGAAGATTCTAGCTCTGTATATACAAATTTATAACACCCAAAATAATAAATTTTGTGCAAAAAATGAATTTAAATCATGAAATTTCATGCAACTATCACCAATATATAATTTATATAAATTATAATAAATAATGCCTTAAGATTAAGGTAACTCACGGTTATTAAAATGGTGAGTTTTAACATGAACAAGAACAACTTGAAAATCTTTTCCCTTCAAGAAATGATCAATAGTCCATCTAACAGCTTGTTGGCTGTTCTTGCCCTTATCAATGGCAACCGCGACAGCATTATGACCCAATTCAATGGGTTGAACTGGTTTAGCCATTCATATGATATGATACGATATAATATGATATGATACCTCCTTACACCCTTCTCTTTCTCTCTCCTTCCTTGGTTGCTTCGCGTTCTCTCAATTAGATTCGCGAAGCAACCAAATGTTTCTTTAACTCCCCTAAACTCGGGGGAAATTGTTCCCAAAAAAATAATTGAAACTTAATTAAAAGCGAAGCTTTTACAATTATTTCATTTCATATATGTCATTCCTATAGGAGTAAACAAACACCGTACGTCTTACCACTATTATCTATCCGACATGGAGTGTTCTGTTTTTTTACAACTAATTTTAGTAAAAATATTTGAATAAATATTTATGGATGATAATATATACAAGTAACACTTTTTTTGAATTTCTTGGTTGTATTAAGTTGGCTTCTAATTTTATCTTATCTTACCCAAATAACGGTGGAACAGTACCTGTTATTGACCTTATTGTTATCCACTTGTATAAATATTATTATTTGTTATTTATTCTAATTATAAGAGCTAGAAAGTTTCTATGAACATTGAATGAATTTTTAATATTTTATGAAATTTTAATGTTATTATTAGGAAAAATTAGAAAATAACACCAAAAAATTTTAAAAAAATGAATCATAATACCACATAATCTCAAATTTTTAATTATAACACTACTTTAAAAAAAAAAAAAAGGAAATTCTCATTGGTACACCCGTGGTTTTGACTTTTCCCATTGATACACTTCAAAATTTTTGTCTTCCCATCGGTACACCTATGGTTTGGTCTTTTCCCAACCGTGACTAACACCGTTAATAAGTATTTCATTAAGTTAAAATAATTAAGGAAAAGACTATATTACCCCTTTTAAACATCTAAAGTCTCGATTTGCGTGTTGAAAATTGTTCGGTTAAAGTTTTGGAGTCCTAGTCGTTAAGGATTCAAATTAACCTCGAAATTAGCAAAAAAAAATAACATAAATGTCTCATATGCGTGTCAAAAAATGTCTCGATTTGCGTGTCATTACTTTTTTGTGATAATAATTGTTCGGTTAAGGTTTTAGGAGTCATTTTAAACCTTAATGGGTCTAAATCGAACTCGAAATTGTCAAAAAATTAACAAAAATATCTCATTTTGCACGTCATGATATTTGTTTTTTTGTTTTGTTATGACACGCAAAACGAGACATTTTCGTTAATTTTTTTACAATTTTGAGTTCGATTGAGACCCTTAAAGGGTGAAAATGACCCCTAAAACATTAAACGAACAATTACTATCACAAAAAAGTAATGGCACGCAAACCGAGATATTTTTACACGCACATGAGACATTTGCACTATTTTTTTTTCTAATTTTGAGGTTTAGATCCTTAAAGACTAACATGACTTTCAAAACTTTAACTGAACAATTTTCGACAGGCAAATCGAGACATTAGATATTTAAAAGGGGGTATTATAGTCTTTTCCTTAATTATTTTAACTTAATGAAATACTTTTTAACGGTGTTAGTCACGGTTGGGAAAAAGACTAAACCTTGGGTGTACCGATGAGAAAACAAAAATTTTGGAGTGTATCTAACGGGTTTTTGGATGTAATCCGTTAGTAGGACCCATCAAGTACACGTGGCATTCATTGATTGGCTAAGGAAAAGTAAAACTGAAAAACAAAAGAAACATTCAAAAAAAAATCAAAACCCTAACCCAGCCCCACCACTGGTAACCATGAACTGTCGCCGGCTCCCCATCCCATCACCACCGTCGCACCCCCAGCCATCGGAAAACCCACCTGCGTCGACCTTGAAACACTCCAGCCACCAAAAAACCCACCTAACCCATCCTTGAAACACCCTAGCAACCGAAAAACCTTGAAACACCCATGCCCTAGCCCCGATTTTGTTGGTTTTTGGTTTCTCGGGTTGTTATTTTTGGGTTGGTTGGGTTTCGATTTCTGGGTTGGTTGGGTTTCGATTTCTAGGGTGGTTTTGGCAGTGCTTGAGCTGGTTGCAGGGGATGGGGTGGTTTTTAGGGAAAAGGAAGGGCGAAATTGGTGGAGTCAGCGATTTTGGTGGGGTCAGTGGGTTCTGGCAGGATCGGATGTCATGGGGTTCCGGGCCTTCCGGGGGTTGGGTTTGGATTGTCTGCAGCTTGGGCAGATGGTCCGGTGGTGGGACTGGGCTGGGTAAGGATTTAAGTTTTTTTTTTTTAAAAAAAAAATAATTTTAATTTCAATTTATTTTTTTAAAACAAGTTGTTGAGTGACACACTGACACGTGTTCATACTTCATAGCGAGCCCCACTAATGAATTCCATCCAAAAATCCGTTAGATGGTGGTTAAATCAATTTTTTTTTTTTTTTGTTTTTTTTTTTTTTTGTGGTGTTATAATAAAAATTTGAGATTATATTGTGGTGTTATAATCCATTTTTTGTAAAATTTATGGTGTTATTTTCTAACTTTTCCAAATTATAATGTCCATAGATCTTTACTCCTTATTACCAAATGTGTTTGGTTAAGCATAGGAAATTCTACTTTCAGTCATAAAGAGGAAAAAAAAAATCAAAATTGTATATTAATTAGATATCATAAGATCTCATTTTACTATGTTGTTTCTTGCGTAGTATACAATATTGTGAATTTACAGCCAAAGTAATTTAGTAACTGTTTGGCCTAGTTTCTACAAGTGTTTCTTTATCTAAGAAATAGAAACTGGGCCAAACAAGGGTTTTTTAAGAAACAAAAACACTTTCTCAAGAAGCCCAAAATAACTTCTAGAGTGGGAAAAATAAGAAGCACCAATTTTGAGCTTCTCTATATCAGTTTCTCGGGGAGCTGATTTCCCATTTAATGAAACTTTTTTTTGGACAAAAATATCCTTAACATTTTACAAAAAGACCTCTAATATCCCATTAAAAAAAAGAAACCCCCCTTCTCTCTCTTCACCTCTCATAAACACTGAGCAGCTCTTTCTCTCTCCAAAAACACGAAACGCTCAACCCTCAAGGCCAAACAAAGACGGCGTCCGACGACATGCAATCCGGTCCTCCTAGACCACCGGCGCCACCATTTCGTCCACCCAAGAGGACACAACCAAGCAATAATAAGGTAATGTTTTTTTACTTATTAAAATTGTCTCTTTTGTGGGTAGAACCCTAATTTCTTTGCATTGATTTTGAAATAGGAGAAAGCTATAGATCTCAGTGGTTCTCCTCATCCAAATCATCCCAATACTTCACGAACAAGAAGTTCTGCCAATGAGGTTAGTGAATTGGTCCAGAATATAGATCTTGAAAATTTCATTTTTGATTCAATTTAGCAAAATACTAACCGTTTACACAAATTCAATTTCTGGGTATTCTTAGAATTTAAAGACTGGGTAAATGATACCTGTGTTAGGACAATGCCATGAAATTAATGTTAAATATAGTATGGTTATAATTTTAATGTGGTTTAGGCGGAATAGCAGTCGAAACTAAAAACAATGTCATTTGTAAGGGCTGAGCTTGTTAATCTCATACGCAGTAATGAAAAATTAGAACTCGGAAGCTTTTATTTCATATATGTTACATTGAAGTTATTTGTAATCGTAGTGGGTTCGATATAGTTGTTGTCTAGTACAGCATTAGAGCCCAAAAATATGCAAAGTCATTAAGCTAGAGATAGGAAGTTGTTTGCTAGGCTGCTTGTTCTGGGGCATAAGGGGGTGGGGACAATATTAGAACTATGGTCTTTATTAATTGGTAAAGTTAGGAAATGTGTCTACTTTTTTAGAACATCCTAAATTCCTAATATTGTATTATAATTGACTATTGTTTTTTGACAAAGGGATTGCTGAGTACCTCGATATTGTGTGCCTTGTTGCTATATCAGAGTAAATAAATAAATAAGGCCTCCTTGAGAGTCTTGACTTTGATATTATAAGTTGTTAAGATGAATTATCGATTTCTTTCTCTTTTAACCATTACAAGCTATGCAGTACCTGTTATACCTCTACATATATGGATGTGGTTTATTATATGCCACTGATAGTTGTGCAGTGCAAATTTTGGGCAGTTGGCCACTTGGCCATATAATTGGACGTTTATCTCGTTCTAATTGAAAGTTATATTTAAGGGCTATAGTCATGGGTATTTCTGATCTATGTTGACAATGGTGTAGTATATGTACGTAGTTGGATGTTTATTTAGTATATTCATTGCTTGTGTTGGTATCAAATTTACTTGCTTATATCCGGACAAGGTGATAGTGGAATGGTTGAAATATATTTTTGAGGTATTGATGTTATGATGTCATAGTATCATATTCTTTGTAAGAACTTATAGACAGGGAACCATTACCTAACCTTTCTTAAAGGTGAGTAATAAAGTTTGGCTATACATTATGCATCAACAAATTAATGAACATGTTATGAATGGGCTTTATATATATATATATATATATATATATATATATATATATATATATATATATATATATATATATATATATATATATATATATATATATATATATATATATATATATATATATATTAGGGAATGAAATGCATGTTGGATTTAAAGAGTACTCGGCTTGTATGTTGTAAGGTTTGTCAATATAATGCTGGTAGAATTTATAAAGCGTGACCTTGGGAGGCAGATTACATTATTATGTTGTGTGTATGGTTGGTGAAGCTTATGCGTAATGCACAACGTTTCATGGCTTTGTTTGTCTTTAGATTAACGAACAAGTAAAGAGGTCAAAAGCAACTTGGTCTGATAAAACAACTAAGATTTTTTGTGAGGTTTGTGCTGAAGAGGTCCATGCAGGGAATAGACCACACACTCATTTTAGCAAAATTGGTTGGAATAATGTGGTTATAAAGTTCCAACAAAGGTCTGGTAAAAAGTATGACCAGAAGCAATTAAAAAACAAGTGGAAGAAGTTAAAAACGGAGTACGCTACATGGAAGAATCTCGTAGAAAAGGAGACAGGGTTAGGATGGGATCATAAGAAAAATACAATTGTTGCATCCGATCAGTGGTGGGCACTCCAAGAACAGGTGAGCATAACAATAATCTGATTTGTACATTGCCTTTTTTCAAGTAGTTAGTTTTAACTAATTACATTTATTTATTTGTATAGGCCAATCCGAGTGTTGCTAAATTTCGTGAAGCTGGAATCCAAAATTTAACAGAGTTAGATATCATGTTTGCTAAAATAATTGTTTCTGCTACAACTTCATGGAACCCTTATTCACAAGATGATATTGAAATAGAAGACTTGACTACCATAGGAAACGAAGAGATAGAAGATGAGGAACAAGTTGACATTACTATGGGTGGTAGTATCAATGAAACAATATCTCAACAGCTTGAAAGTGAAAGCATTGACAAGATCAAAGTCAATACAACATCGGAAGAAAAAGGAAAAAAAACACAAAAAGGAAATAAATCTAAAGTTAGCACAGCTAAGCTCATGCAAAATGAGCTAAAACGTATTGTTGGTGCGATGGAGAATTTCTCTCAATCTAGTGCTACTGTAACTTCAAAAAGAACTGATCTTCCTGGTTGTAGCATTGGAGAGTGTCTAACATTGCTAGCTACAACACCAGGGGTTGAAATAGGAAGTGAACTTTATATGTTAGGAACTCGTTTATTTGTCAAACGAGAATATAGAGAGATGTTTGTTGGTATTCCTGATGAAAATATACGGAGTTGTTGGCTTGAGCAAGAATTGGAAAGAGAGAAAAAAGCTTCTCAACGTTAATTATTTTTTTATTTGTTATGAAACATTGTATTTATGCTTTGATTGCTACTTTTTTTAATTACCTTGTTGTAACAGACCAACTTTCTTATTTATGTCAGTTATTTTGATTTTCTTAGTATTTGTTATATATTATTATCATTATACTTTCTCATATAATATTAGCTTTTTATAGTTGCTTCGTTATATAAGGTTTACTTTAAAGTATACAATTTTAATTGGTTCCTTGTTTTTTTTAATCAGGTTAGTTCAAATGGAAGTGCTTATGATGATGTAATTGACGAATCCTCCTCCGAAGAAGAAGACGATGAAGATTTATTACTTCAAGAACAACTGAGGGGTAAACAAATGATGTTATATGCCGCCACAGGGGTAACGATACTTACCAAATACTATCTTAAATATTTAATTAAACAGCCTACTAGGATTTCGTTATGTTCTGGATGGCACTGGTTGCAAGAGGTTTTATCTACATCGGGTGAAAGTTATAGGATATTAAGAATGGAACCCCATGTGTTTTATAGTCTTGCTAAATTATTAATGGATAAATATGGATTAAAGTCAACTAGGACCATGTCTGCTGAAGAAGCACTCGGAATATTCGTATATTTATGTGCACAATTTCAATCTAATCGTAATATGAAAAATCGCTTTAAACATTCTGGTGAAACAATAAGTAGAAAATTCAATGAAGTTCTTGAAGCAATGATAAGATTTTCTAAAGATATTGTAAGACCTTCTGATCCAAACTTCAAGGAGGTTCCAACTAAGATACGAAATAATTATAAATATTGGCCACATTTCAAGGATTGTATTGGTGCCATTGACGGAACTCATATTCCATGTGTTGTTTCGGAGGAGGATGAAATCCCTTACATTGGCCGCAAAGGTAACCCTACTCAAAATGTTTTAGCAATTTGTGACTTCGACATGTTATTTACATATTTTGTTGCTGGGTGGCCGGGATCTGTTCATGATAATCGAATCTTAAAAGATGCAATGGAAGACCGCAAGAAATATTTCCCTCATCCACCCGAAGGTATATATTTATGAAACTATATATTATAATATCTTCTTTACCATTATTATACTATGTTGTCATTATCTAATATTGTACAATGTACAGGAAAATATTATGTTGTTGACGCGGGTTATCCGAATATGAAAGGATTTATGGCTCCTTTTAAAGGCGAACGATACCATGTTCCTGATTTTCGTCGTTCAACACAACCTCCAAATGGTTTCTACGAGGTCTTTAATTATTCACATTCGTCATTGAGAAACGTTATAGAGAGAACATTTGGTGTCTGGAAAAAAAGATGGAGGATATTATCAATTATGCCCAGCTTTTCGTTGGAAACTCAAAAGAAACTTGTTGCAGCTACTATGGCTATGCATAACTATATAAGAAGACACGCGCTTGAAGATTTGGAATTTGATAAATGTGATGCAGATCCTTATTACATACCTGAAGTTGAAGGGGATGAGGATATTGGAGGCAACCCGGTAACTACTCTTGAAGAACATGATGGATCAATGGATGATTTTAGTCTGGAGTCTATTCGCTACAATATTGCAACTTCTCTAATGAGTCGTGGATTGTAACATTATTGGATCTTTTATTAGGAATAATAATAGCAGACATTTTGGATATGAATTTTTTATATTTTGACAAAAAAATCCAAGTATTTAGACTTATAAAATTGTTCAATATTTTAAATTAAATTTAATCTTACAAGCTATTATAAACAATTTGCTATTAAAAAACAAAAAAAAACTATTATTAACAAAAAAAAAAACTATTATTAACAACAATGTACAAGAAATTAATACTAATTTATTCTCCCAAATAATTTTTTTAAAAAAAAACTAATATGGGCCAAACAGGGTAAAATAGTTTCTCAATCTAAGAATCACTTCTGATTTTTGATGGGCCAAACAAATCTATTTCGTACAACTGTTTCTCTAGAAATAGTTTCTGGAAAACTACTTCTGGGAAACAGAAGTTGTTTTTCAAAAGCTTGGCCAAACAAACCCTTTTATATGGACATCTTTTGACATTTTAGCATTTAAATCTAATTGTTCGAGAAAAAAAATTATATCAAAAAACGATCGATTATCTTTTGAAAATATAAGGAAAAGTAATAAAGAGTTAACCCCCAGTTGTAAAGAAAATTAAACTAAATAATTGCCCTTTTGACAAATGTGTCTGAGAAAATATACGCGTAACTCTAGATGTATCCGTAAACAAGCTAATGGATTTAATCTCTAAGAGCACAACAGGCAATGATGAAAATAACAAACAATACAACAAGAAGTACAACATTGACAATAGTAATTCTTCTCCAACCCTTCATAAATAAAGCTAAATAACCAGCTTTGCATGATCCACAATTATAGCACAAATTATTAAAAGCATTGTTCCAAACTTTGCAATCTGGATCTGGTGAAGTCAATCCCTTTACTGGAACTATCCAAGTTGTTGCACTTTCATATGTAAATCCACATTGTGCTGGTGGTTTGCAACATCCTGTCTGTCTCAAAAGAAAAAGGAAAAAAAAAAACATTTATCAAACACTTTTCTTATTAAAAAAAGAAAATCACTAAAAATGCATTCATAATCTAAAAATAATAACCTTAAGATAAAACAACATGATAAAACAACTAACATGATAAAACTAGATGTCTTACAAGGGATTGAACTTTGATTTTTGCAGGAAATATGTGTTTAAAAAATTGATTTAAAATAAGAAAGTTCAAGTTTTCTCAAATATAGGCACTTTGTATTTCGTATTGGTTTTAAGTCTTTTAACCTATCGTAAGTTTAACACATTATAATCGTTCAAACAAAAAAAAGTTTCACATTATAAAAATTAAAATATATGAAGCGGGAAATAAAAAGAAATGAAGAGATTGAGTTTGAAATATGCTCTTGGACTATTAATTTTTGGAGGGGGAAGGGATTTTTTTTTTAGGATTTCTACATTATAACCCTCTAACTTTCCGTTTTCTACGATGTGCCCCCCTTTTTGAGAAATCTACATTGTAACCTCAAAATACATTTAGCTTCTATACGGTAACCTTGTCGTTAACAAATTCCGTTAGTGGGGCCCACTCACCACTTAATAATATTTTTTTATCGATTTGCGTGTTGAAAATGGTTCCGTTTAAGGTTTTGGGGGCTATTTTGATCCTAAAGGGTCCATATTGAGCTCAAATTTAGCAAAAAAATAACACAAATGTCTCGTATTGCATATTAAGGAATGTCTCGAAATGCGTGTTTATGTATTTAATACGCAAAACGAGACATTTGCGTCATTTTTTTGTCAAATCTGAGCTCAATTTAGTTTCTTAAGGGCCAAAATAGCCCCCAAAACCTTTAAAGAAACCATTTCCAACACGCAAATCGATAAAAATATTATAAAGTTATGAGTGGGCCCCACTAACGGAATTTGTTAACGGCAATATAACGACAAGGTTACCGTATAGAAGCTAAATGTATTTTGAGGTTACAATGTAGATTTCTCAAAAGGGGGCACATGGTAGAAAACGGAAAGTTAGAGGGGTATAATGTGGAAAAAACCTTCTTTTTTTTTTTTTTTGACAAAATTAGAGGGTGTTTTTCTTAGAGCTGGATGGTCTTCTCCAAATAATTCAATTCTTTTTCTGAATAACAATATTTAAAACAAAATAATAATTAAAAAAAAAAAGCAAAAAGATTATACCTCAATAGATGTAAGTTTAGAGCGCTTAAGAGTAACAAAATCCATAATAGACCTAAAAGCACCAATCTTGCCACAAGCATCATGGCGAATCATGCATGACTTAATATCCTCCCAATGACTTCCACCAACCATATTATTCTTCAGCCAACTTGAGAACCCTTGAAGCTCATACTCCTTAACATTACCCCCTAGAACATCCTGCCCATTTCCGCCTCCCTTAATCACCGCGCCTCCAACAGTTAAACACGCTAGCAACCCTATGATTACAACGAACAATGCAATCAAATACAACCACAGGAAGAGGGTTATTCGACAGCATGAGCCTAGGAGTCCGATGAGGGAGATGATAAGCAAGCAAGTGCCGAGTGCAAGGAGAGGCTTGTACATTATGGGATCACAAGGGGAATTCGCTGTTATTTTAACGAAATAACCAGCCAAGAGAATAGGTAATGAAATGCATAAGGTTATGGTGTTTAGGCATCCTAGAAGAACAGTACTTACCGCCATTACAAATTCCTTGACTAATTATGTTTTAGAGTTTTATTTCTTAAAAAAAAAAAAAAAAAATCGAGTTTTAAAATGAATGAGTAAAATTTCTTTACCTATGGAGGAATAGAGAGAATGACCCCAAATGATAATCAAGGGGTAATTTTCTCTGGAATGATGCAAAAATTTTAATAAAAAAACTTCCCAAATTGGGTGGCAAGGAGAAAAGAAGGGATTAAAGGGTCCCTAAATATGGGGATATTATTCCCGTCAAAAAAAAATATATGGGGATATTATTTAGAAGTAGAAAATTGTGAAAATACAATTTTGAAAAATGGGCATGTTGTATTAACAAAAAAATTGTTAAAATGTTTGAGATCAAGGATAGATATTCTCACCTGTGATTTAGCCTATTTTCAAGTTGACAAAAATAAGAGCCAGAAGAGAGGTAAAGAAAACCAGATATGGTATTTAGTTTGATGAGAGTGACCAATAATTAACAATGATCTTCAGGTAAAAGAGACCATTTTCATGTTTGATGTTCAAATCTAGCAGCACAAGAGAGTAGCTTATTACTCATATTATTATGTCGTTTTATACATCATGACCCGTTACAAGCTATTAACCAATTTTGCCAAACACCAGCTAAAACAGCAAGTACGAACAAAAGAGTATATACACGTATTAATTGCTCTACAAAAATGGGCAAGTTCACAAACGGCAGATTTACCAAGGATTGGCTCAAATCAATGACCATTAACTCAGATTAGATTTGGTACCATTCCGGCTCAATTTTAGAGCCAGTGTTGGCATATTCAACAATTAAAGCGAAAGGGGAGAGGGGAGAGGGAAGAGCATCACAATCTGGTTCAATTGTGAATTTATGAGGCTAGCCTTATCAAAATATTGGTTGACAATCCTGCCTTGAGCTAAACCCGCACCTTGCAATTAAATTTGACCAATCTTGAACCAGTTAAGCACATAGGCTATCACTGATAGAAACTAAGCCGCTCATAAAGATTGTGCTACCTGTCGTAGTAGATTACTTTCATTCACCAACAAAGTGCAGACTACTGTGTCAATGTTGTGGCCTGTGGGTTTACAGAACCTCATAGAAGAGCTCATCTACCAGTAATTTCCCATGCCACTAATAAACAGGATGATTGGCGAATGTACCATATAAGTAATGATACAGCTTCCAGTAATGACACCATAACATATTACTTGATCCAATACCACAAATCCACAATGCAGCAACTATAAGCACGACACAACAGTACATCTGGGCAAAAAGTAGAGCATTTCAAAAGGACACATATCTCATACTTCGTATATCTTTTCATAATGTTGCTAGTGTTTTATACACTTCACTACAGTGGTCATAATTTATGTACATAAAAGTTTTTTTGAGAAAATAGTATAACTTACAGTCATCCTGCAAAATTCTTTACCAAGCTCTTTCCCCAGAGATCCCCTGTTCTATTTCGCTTGTGTGTTAGATTGGACAAAGAAATATATACAAGGAATTAATAATATAGAGCTTTAAGGGTTTCAAGAAGCACTAGAGAAGAATCACGGCCACGATAATCAGTGTCACAACTGTAAATACCAGAGCCTGCAATCATGGAGATATAATGTTACTAATACATGAGAGAATGGCAATATCCACACTTTCTTAATTTTATATTCAAATGAACAAGCAACTTGAAGAGATGGGCGAGCCATGACACACAGTTATAGAAATGATTATCTAATCACGATAAATGTATCCAGTTAAACATTGGTAAGCAGGAGTAACAAGCGGAGAAGTGGGCAAGAAAAGCAGATAGTGTGCATAAGGTAAGCTGTGCGAATCTTCAGACCTTGTAAATTTTTAAAGCATTAAATATGTCCGTTGATGCCAGTAAATACCACCAAGAGGCAAGACATTTTACAGTCTTACTAGCATACATTAAGAGCTACGTACATCATATGCTATTAGAGGCTAAACACAATCGAATTTCAAATCTAGAGTATTTTTTATTACTACGCTGTTAAATTCTAACTCCATTGATATCAGTAAAGGCCAATTAAGCAAACAATAGCAGTGATGTCCGCAAAATCAAAGACAAGTAATAGTGTGGGCATAAGCCAAGACAAGCAATGCCATGTCATAGACAAGATACTTACAGCTATTGCGCAAGTGGCCAGTCCAATCCTTTCCCTAGGATCTTTACGGTAGTAATTTCTGAAGTAAAGGATTGTAGCATAGTACCACATCAACGGGAATATGAAACCAAGCAAAAAACTGCCAGAAAGACACATGTTTTTATTACGAGAGAAGGCAGAAAAGTGGGCAGGACAAGCAAATAGAAAAAGTTGGACACTTACGAAAACCAACCAATACCACAGCCAAAGCATGGGAGTGGTTTATCATACAGCCCCAACAATTGGTCCCCTCCATCCCCAATAAGCGTATAATCCCCCTTTTTTTCAGGGTCTGTTGGGCAGCCTGCGGTGGATAAATACATTTGAATAATTGAGATAACTATGGAAAGAACATTTAAGCGGAGGAAAAAACATCAATTTATGTTGTATGTCTGGGTGCTGCAAATGCATGCACATTCTCTATTTCTCATGGGCCTCATCCTTATGTTTAAGAATGACTACTTCCCGAACCTTATAGTATGCTGCCTTCCCTCAGACAACTCCTATTTGGCCTTTCGAACCTTGCTCAAATAGGGAAGACCAAATATTCATGCATCAGAACATACCGGAACATTTTGCCTCAAACACCCCTATGATTTTATTTCCTAATGTGTTCAGTCCAATCCAATCTTTTATCTCACAACATACTCCCCAGTATTTACCTTGTTCAAAAAGGTCAGGCTATAGGGATAATTGCACACATTTACTTCAATATATTCTAGCTTGTTTAAGCAAAAACGAAAATCATGGTAGGATTAATCCACCAACACTCTATTGGCAATCAAATAAATGGACAATTATCATTCTTATCAAAACTTTGGTTTCCAAATGTAAATTTGGAATGTCACCATTATCTAGTAATCTTCGACATGATAATAACATCATAAAAACATACATTTAAGAACCAAAAACCTTGATTCGAGCTTTCACCCGTAACATTTAACTCATTTAAACCAAATTCTAGCCAAATCATACAATGTCCTTTCTTAAACTAGCAATCATTCTATACTTCCATTATATTACCAAAATGGGATAATAAGCAGCACAAAAATAACAAAATCAAAATGAGAAAAAAACATACTTTGTTCCATGCTTGGCTATAGAAAAATTCACCAAACTGACATGAAATTCTAGATGCAGCTGCCCAAGTCTCTCTTTCTATAATCTGCAACATTCAAACCACAAAAATTCATCAGCAACATAAATCACCTTCTCTATAATTAGACATACGTGAATCAATTGATAATCTAAACACACAAAATTAGCAGAGCAGCTTCAAATCTCAAATACCCACCAAACAAATTAATAAAAGACAGCTACAGCTAGGCTGAATTCAATCAAATTTTGGGAAAACAAATAAGATAATATCATCAATTAATTACAAAAGATTGAAACCCTAAATTACAATGAAAAAAAAGGCAATGAAATAGTTGGATTCAGCCAAGAAATTAAGTGCGACTTGCCTGAAAAGGGAAGGTAGCTGGATAGTGGTAGCCAAATGCTTTGCCGTAGCTCTAGAGAGAAAGACAGGTGGGATGTCTTTACAGTAGAAAAAATAGAGAGAAATGGGGGCATTGGCATACTCAAGGAGTGGGGTACACGACTACAACAAGTTAATGTTCACAACGGCGACGGGTCCTTTACTATTTTTGGTTGTTTTTATTGAGTCGTGGAGTTAGAGTTTGTTCCGATTTACTGAAAATAACTTAATTGAACTGAATTGATTAGAGCTGAATTGAACTGAATAGTGATGAGATGAATGGTTTATAAGAGAAGGAAATTAGAAATTGAACTGAACTAATTGGAGCTGAAATGAATTGAACTGAACTGAACAAGTCCTTAGTCTCTTGTTAGACAGTTTTGATAAGATGGTGAGACCGTGAGAGCTTGAGCCATATGACCAAATAACCGGGTACCAGGTAGGCAGGTAAGTGGAGTGTATAAATTTTGTTATATATACCTGAGTGTACTGTATGCCCAGAGCTATTCGCTCATTAATTTTTGTTCATTCAATAAATGGGCAAAAATACATATGAGCAAGTTACTCAGGGTGTACAAAATCGGCTCTTGAAAGTATATGGGATATTTTCGGTTAATAATAAAAGTAAATAAGTTATAATTTATTTTATTAAACGGATTTATGATTATGGATTTATGGGTACATAAGTACACATTAACAAAATATCCATCTTCATCCTTAGCCAGCACTATACCTGAAATATCGAATTACACTTAATTATATACTTCCACTATTGGACAAAAATAAAATTAAATTGTAACAACTTATCACTTTCTTCTTATCGGTAATAAAATTTTGTCAATTAATTTGTTTATTTACTTAGTATAATATCTCTTTGAAAATACGTGCTAAAGTCGTGTGTTGCAACTTGAAAGTAAATGTAAACCGAGTAAATACTACCCAAAAAAAAAAAAAAAAAATATTTGTGGCCTCGTCTTAAAATTTGGTATGAGCCCACAACCAAAAACACCACCAAATAGCCCAATATTACTTCCTTTCTTCTTCTCTCTCCAATTCTCAATTGTAGGGTTTATCACAGAAAAACCCCAATTCAATCTCCAAAACCCTGTCGTTTGATTTCTCTCTGTTTCAACCCCACTATCTCTCTTTGCCAAAATCTAACATGGAAGCATTAACACCCCCTAAATCACACAATTCCAAGAAAAAAAAGAGGAAAGCAATCGAATTTGATACCCAAGTTCAAATGTTGAAGGAACAACAAGAGAAAAATGCACCAATGTTAGGGTATTACCCTTCTGGGTTCGACCCATTAAACCTTAAAAACCCAGAATCAAGCAAACTAGGGTTTTTCAGGGATCAAAAACGGCTTAGAAGAGTTGAACTTGTTGTGAAACCAAATGGGTCTAAAGTTGATTATGTTGGTAATAGTCATTTTGGTGAAGCTGCTGTTGGTAGGATGAATAGTTATGCTCTTGCGGTTGTTGATAAACGTTCTCAGTCTTTCAGATTGGCCCCCATTAATGCTAATAGGGTATAATTTCCTTCACTTTTTTCAATTTTTGTTTTTTCAAGCTTATTGTTTGCTTAATTCTGGTGTACAAAGAGCCACAAAAGGCAGTAATTTACTCGGGTTTTGATCCCGGGTACCATCGATTAAGCTGATTGGAATTTTTGATATTTGATTGTGTTAATTGCTTTAAATGAAGAAATGTTGGATTTTTTTTTTTTTTTTTTTTTTGTTTAGTTAGTTGAAGAAGGGGGTTGCATCTTGGCTTTTAGTGTTGTTTGTTTGATTGATTGGTTTCCATGAAAATGATTTGTGCTTGTGTGATCATTCAAGGAAGAATTATGGGAAATTGAAGATTTTTACGTTTGATTATTTCATTAACAGTGTCATGTTTATCATCAACTGGTATAGCTATGCGTTTCAGAATTCATTAATGACAATATGACATTTCCTGTTATATAGATACAAAGTATGCAAAGTTGCTAACCAAAAAAAAAAGTTCGAGGAATAACAGAATGCTGCATTGTCTAAAGTGGGATGTGTCTCATAAAGGCAGTATTGGCTGTCTTTTGGGTTGTTGTCAGTACAGCGACTTATTGCCAGGATCATATGATGCGATTTAAAACCCTCCATTTGCTTGTTTCTGAGATTACAATCTAACAGCATTCTTTTGAAGTAGACACCTATTTGAGCTCGACACCTTTTCCTAACATGGACCTTGTTGCTGACAATGTTCAGGTATTCAGGCTACAACCATTAGCTAGGGCATCACGTGCATCTGAAACGGAACCAGAAACTCCAGCCAAGATTGAAGATGCTGAAGATAGAAGACTCAAAAGGCATAAACTTACAGACCGTTATGGTACCAAGGGTGCAATAAAGAAGGTTTGTATGCTTCCACTTGGATATTTAATTATATATTGATACCCATCTTTGGCGTTAGGATCTTAGGAACCAAAGGCTTATGCTGTGATACGATGTAGGGAACTGTTATTCTTGGCTCTGTTCCTTCTTTACTGATGATGAGATATCTAGATCAACATCCATTTGTTTTTCTGCGTTATGTTATGCGATAAAACTCCTGAACATGTTCTATTAAGTTTTAACCCAGTTCATGTTTGATGAGTTATGGGGAATCATGATGTATACATATACCATTTGAGCTAAGGTCCAAATTATGAACTCATCAAGTGATGAAACACTAATTTTGAAAAAAAAAAAAAAAAAATCTTACAGATTAGTCAAAGATAAAAATCTGTCAAGTGTAATATAGTAATTTGTAGCTTCCAGATTATTAATAAGAGAGTCAGAAATTTCCAAAACTAGTGATCACAACTTCAAATGTATTAAATTGTACTCCTATAGAACACTTGTATCGTCTGGATCAGATTTAATTCGGACAAATTATAGATTAGTTGTCTCTCTTGCAGGACAAGGAAGCTATGCGGTTAAGTCAAAAGGAAGATCCTGATGTCATGCCTGAGATAAACCAAATTTTAGAGGCAACTCCTATAGACAAGACAGCAATTGAAAGTTCCAGTTTGAACACTGACAACAATCTTCCCCCACACGATCTCTCTGCTACAACACCAGAGAAGGCTTATCTGCTTGATAAAATTATTCTCAAGGGAGAATGGGATTATGTGAGAGACATTTTGGAGCGGTTGCAATCTGGGCAGGAGATAAAACCAGATGTTTACCCAAGTTTTGTGTGCAATCGATGTTACAAAGTGGAATTAAACAAGGTGAGTTGGTTTAAGATAGACTTTTATTTTCATTTGAAATTCACTTATTTGAACTTGTTGTAGTTGTAAATTGAAATTGGGTACCCTTATTAAAACTTATTTGAACTTCTTTTCCTATAAATAAATAAAATAAAATTTTGTATGGGAAAAGAACATAGCTGTAGGCTGATACAAAATTTTATTTTATTTAAAGATGGCATTTATCTCTTGCAAGAAGATGTAGAGCTGGTAGTGATAATCAAGGCAGCATCTACATCTTCTTGCAAGAGATTTGTGTGTTGGAAATAAGTTGTTATTGATATGTGATTTTTTTTGCTTGAATTAAAACAATAGCAGAAGGTAGTTAAGGAAAAATAAAGGGAAGTAGGTGAGCTTAATTGCACTTGTCAAGCTGTTCTGCGTATATATTGTAAAGCTAGCCTTTATTTTTCTGTGTCTTTAGGGAGGGGGTGGAGTAAGTTGGTTGCTCTGTGTGAGTTTGTTTGGTTTGAGAATTGAGACAAAGGAGCTAATGATAGTGTACTTAGGCTATGTTGTTAATCTAGCACGGCAAAATGTAGTAAACGGGGATATGCTTCTTTGGGCTTGTTGTGTATTAAGATAGCAAAATCTGGCAAATTACATGATCATGGCTAGTATTTTGGGCAGCTCGGTGGCTTTTTATGCATTTTCTGTCCAGACTTCATTGACTAAGTGTTGTTCTGTCTAGATTTCATTGCCAATATTGTGGTCATTGATCTCAATATCATTCTTTAACCTGAATGCTTTCCCCATAGGTACATATAGTCATATATGTATGTTATTTTCTACTCTTGATTCTGTAGGATGAAGCAGAGAAGAGTAGGCTTGCTGGCATCCTGTCATACATTTCTCATCTCATAAACATCAAGAATCGGTATTCTGCTGGTGGTGGTGGAAAATCTTCAAAGCATCACGTTTATCTCCCAAGTATTTTGTCACAGAAGTTTGACAAAATGTTTATTAATAAAGAGAAAAACAGGCTCTCAGATGACAAAATAGGCTCCCTCATCAGCTATGTGCTGGTTCTCACCTTATTTGTTGATGAGTTTCAGACTGATTTTACAGATATTGCCAAGGATCTGAAGATGTCTGCTTTAAGTCTAAGACCTTATTTCGAGAATTTGGGCTGTAAGTTTGCCAGAAGAAATAAGGTGACTGTTGCTACCCTTCCTACTCCTCTTAAGTTCCCAACACTGAGGAAGAGGAGAAGAGGGTAATGTAATAATGGCCCCTGCTATTCTTTCACTTTCCAAACAAACCTTAATTCCTTCCAGAGGTTTGTTATTGGACAGCGCCTTTTACAACATGTGATAATCAAAATGGGGATAGATTGAGCCATCAACTACATTTATTTTTTGTTTTGTAATCTCAGTTGGCATATCAACTCTATAAGGTAAAAGTTGTTTCAGTGATTGAAAATTGAAAGATTACTGTGCTAGTTATGATGGCTTCATGGTTTATATTGTTGAGCTAATTGCATAGATGTACTTATCAAATGATTAATTGTGCTTTTTTAAAAACTGATTTGAAATTGGATAAACATGCTTTTACTCTCTGTTTTTGGATTTATATCTTGGCAAGATATTGATATGCATATGCTATTATGTTATTAAGTTTAGATAACATATGCACTCTTTGTTGCTAATTATTTCGTGTGATACTACACAAAAACTGAATTGCACAGGACCAGCACATAAAATTTTGATGCACAATTACATGTTTACAATTTTCTAATCATGTTAAAAAGTTGTTAATTAGGTGGATATTGCCACCTTGTGGATTCTTGATGGTGCAAGCTGAATTCAAATTGATCATCTTAGTCATTTTGGGGACTCTAATCATATAGTTATGTTTTTGATGTCCCAAATTCCCGATTATAGTTAAATCTGTTTCATATTATGTGCAATACATGTTTTCTATTCATTTTAAATAGTCTTTCTTCATCATATGCTTTTTTATTATTCTTTCTCCATTTAAGACTCATTAATAAAATTCTCCTATGAAGGCTTTTGTTGCACTAAATATAAAATGGAGGTAGTATGATGTTTTCAAATATAAAATCATTTAATGTTTAAATTGAATGAAAATATTTCACAAAAAAAAAAAAAAAAATTGAATGAAAATAGTAATAACACATGAATACGGAGCAAGTCGTATTCTTAAACAAAAAAGGGATGAAATAATGTGATAACCATGTTAAAATGGAGGGGGAGGTTCTGATCCTATTAGGTAATTAGTGAGTATATAACTATATTTTTCCTAAGAGTTGGTTTAATAAGCTAATTTGACTATTTGATTGCATTAGATGTTTTGACTAACTGATTGTATTAGTTGTATATGTAAAATTGTGTGATAAAATTAGGTAATGATTTTAGTCGAACCTTTATTTGCGAAACAACTACAAGGCATAATTGGTAGTTATGCAATTCAGATTTTCATCGTTACGAACAACTTCACAGGTCATAATCTTACAAGTTACATGTGTAGTCATTAACGGTTGCTCACCTACTAATATATAAACACGTGCTAAAATGTATAATTAACTTATTTTACTATGCATATGTGGTTTGGCGGTGCGTCATACTCCGTAGGCAATTTTTTTTTCAATTGAAAGATATAATAATAATAATAATAATAATAATAATAATAATAATAATAATAATAATAATAATTGTTTCGGGTGGAAACAATGGGACCTTGCCGAAGGTCCGATGAAACGGAGAAGACTAGATTCGGTCCAAGTAATGTTGGGCCGAAGGTTTCCTGCACAGTAAACACACGTAAACTAGCCTCGGGGGTGTTGCCGAAGAAGGCCCCTCCGATGCTAAAGTCAGTACAATGTGTTGAAAGAGAAGACTATGCAAGAGAATTAGTTGCTTGAGGCTTTGCTTGAATTAATGAGAATCTATGTAAAAATGTAATATTGATGGCTTTTATACCTCTTCATACATGGAGATGTTGGGTCTTAGCCCAATTGGCTTGCCTTGAGGGCTGATCTTTGACTTTAGCACAATTGGAGAGATGAACCTTGACCTTGGGCTTTTAATTGGATCATTTAATGCCTAAGCCCAATTGGACTAAATTGGACCCAAACAACTTGCCCCCCAGACCCGATTTGGAAGGATGACGGGTCGGGTTTGATTTAATTCAGAAAAGGAGGGAAGTGAATGATTTAATTAATCCAAAAATTTGAATTTAAACCGTAATTAATGAGATAACAACGGTTAAGGCGGATGATTGTGGAAGTTGGACGGATAATGGGCAGTTTAATCGCAAGGTCGTGTGTTTAACGGTTACTTAGTGGGGTATTTAAGAGAAATTGAAACGCGGACTCCCCGTATTCCCATTTCTGGAGATATAATCAGAGGCGCGTCATCTCTCCTCACTTATTCACCAACACAAACCCAGAATTCTCGAGAGAAACCAAGAACCCGCATCAAAACTTCGCAAATTCCCCGAGCATTAAGCTTAGAAACTGAGACTTGCCACTACGAACTCGTAAATCGGCAACTTTCGCTTCAGATTAAGGTAAATTCCTTTGATTTCAGTTTATTTTTCTTCGAATTCGAACTCCTTCCCCTTTTTTCGACTTTTTTCTTCGAAATAATCAATGGCAAGAGGAGTTAGAGGTAGAGCCCGTGCTCCAAGAAGAGCAAGGCCGATTCCCGATCCTAGGAACAGGATTGGGACCTGGAATGGACAAAGGCCAGAGTCTGACCCTGCTGAAGGGATTAGGGCGACTCCCATTTCCTCGGCTCCTCCTCAGAGAATGGAGGGGCCGAGCGCTTCTGGACGGGACGATGAAGTTCCCGCTGTCCTTTGGGATATCCTCCCCGGGTTTTCAGAGTGGGAGAATGCCGAAGTAGCTTCGGCCATGATAAAGAACCGCCCCTACTCATGGTGGGTGGAGAATGCCGAACAATATCGGTTTGCCGAGCAAATTGAGTTGCATTACGGCATTTTTGAAGCTGATGGGTATTGGTGCCGAATGCCCGCGGCATCCGATAGAATCCATCGTTTACCCCCGGGGTATGTGGGGGTGTACACAAGACAACTTCAGTACGGGCTGAGGTTCCCTTTGGACGTATTCGTCCGAGACTTGCTGATCCATTACAATATCTCTCTATGTCAGTTAACTCCCACCAGCATCCGAAGGGTGATGACATACTTATGGGTCTGCAAGTTCTTCAAGTATGTGCCGAACCTGCACTGCTTCAAAAAGCTTCATCGGCTAGTGCCAAATATTCAAAGTGGGCACGGAAGTCATGGTTCTGGGTGGTACCGGATTGAGTCTCGGCCCCAGTACCTAACCATGTGGCCGAACGACTCTTCAGACAAGGACTGGAGAGGTCAATGGATTTGGGTTAGGGCACCCACGGACCCGAGCCACCCTTGCGTCTTCAGCGCTCCCCGGTACCTTGCTGAGCCTGATCCCGACATGGGAAGTCTAGGTCCCCCCGTAGATAACGGGCCAGATCCGAACCTTAATCAACAGAACATCTTCGCCAAGCTGCCGAACCGGGGGGGCAGCGGCCGAATGCAGCATATCCCGGAGACTTGGCTCCCCGATACGCATTATGTTTTCCAAGAGAACATGCTAGCAGCTGTTGGCCTCAGCCGAAAGTTTAAGGATGGTAAGCTTCTTCGGCTGGGGCCGAGGCTTTTTAATTATCTCTTTTTCTCCTCACTTCGCTTTTTCTATGCTGTGCCAGCCTAACTGAACTGACCTTTCCCCTTTTCTTTTTCAGAGCGGGACGAGACCAACGTCGGCATTAACTACGCTCGTCTTGGCGTCAACCGAGAACGAGTTGTAACTGATCGGGCCCCCTCCATCACTGAACCGAGGCATAGGGAAGTTCATCTAGACTCTTCCCACTTCCAAATTGAGGTTGTTGCTCTGTATCAGAGGCAGAAGCCTTGGTGGAAGAAGAGAGATCCCTGGTTTCAGCTGCTAGACGAAGAAGCTGAAGCTGCCCGTACGGACGAAGAGGTTGCACGGGTTATCGAAGCTTGTGAAGGAGGAGAAGGGTCCTCCAGGGCTGCTGAAGAGGAAGCTGCAGCTAGGGCAGCTAAAGAAGACGAGGCTTTGCTGAAGACCTCGGTGAGCTTTCAGACTTAACTTTGTCTTTTTTTTTTTTTTTTTTGTACTCACATTCTTCCTCCCCCCTGTCTTTTACAGTCTGAAGAGAGTAACAGACACAGAGAAGGGAAAGCCCCTGTTCGTCCCGAAGACCAGTTACAAGAAGAGTCTTCAGACTCAGACATGGACGAGCAGCCGCTTCAGAAAAGGCGCCGAAGAATGGCCATCATCGGCCCGCATGACTTTCAGCGGAGGCCAATGACCATCGGCGTTGAAATAAGGGAACCCGAGGAAGGCAATGGATCGCCGAGGGTTCCCCGGCCACCACCCCAATCACCTCAAAAGACCCCTCCGCCACCTCCTGAGATGGAGGTGGATCAGAAAACTCCCGAATCTAAGGGAGGGGTCCAAGAAGAAGTTCAGGAGAGTGCCGCTGAGCACAAGAATAAGGATGCCGTGATGCCCAGTGCTGAGGGTTTCACGGCAGACATCGCAAGAGAGGTTGAGGCTTTCGTCCTCACCCCTGAAGAAGAAGAGGTCATAATAATTGACTCTTCTGAGAAGGATGATGCTGAGCCATCCAAAGCTAAAGAAGCTCCGTCGTCATCCTTTCCTTCCTTCCAGACTCTTCAATCTGGAGAAATGGGTTTCTCGGCCCCCCGAATTCCAATCCCAGATCACATCTGGGACCTCATATGGGGTCAGAACCGAGAAGGTGCTGGAGCCTACTTCGGCGATTTTGCTGGCACGTCCGAAGTAGATAGGGCAAGAATCTGGTCGCTGAAGGCCACTGCTGGGATGGGCGAATCCAGCAGATCAGTTCCTGACACAGCCAGGTCTAACCAACTGCTGATGATGCAGGTGATTTTCCTTGCATTTATTTCCTCTAAAATTCAGCTCTATTTTTATTATTATTTTTTTTTTTTAACTTGTGCTCCTGTTTTCAGTTCGTGCACAATCAGACTCTCACTGTAGAGCTGATAGATACCCTACAAGATAGGGTAGACGCTGCCGAGCACGACAAGAAGGTAGCCGAAGAGGAGTTAAAGCTTGCTAAGCTGAAGCAAGCAGCAGCTGAAGAGAAGCAGCAGAAGGGTGAGGAATACGAGAAAAAGGCTGCTGAAGCCTTCAAAACCTTCTGCGACGCTATGGAGAAGGAAGTTTTTCCCCCACTGATGGAAGGGGAAAAATTCCTCCAAGAGCACATGGGAGTGGACGTCTCCAAATTCAAGGCTGTCATTGAGAGCCGAATCCAGGAAGGAGCTGCTGCACAAGCTGAAGTGCAGCAACGGTTAGAAGCTCTTGAAGCCAGCAGAATGGCTGCTGAAGAGCTGCTCCAAGCCAGGGATGTCCAACTCTCAGAGGCTGCTGCTGCTGCTGAAGCTCGGAGAGCTAAGCTCCAAGAGGCTGAGGATCAGCTGATGGCTAAAAAGGAAGAAGTGGCCCAGGCTCAGACAGAGGCTTCCCAAGTTCAGCAGGAGCTGA